TGCCATATCGACCTTCAATATGCTGAACATAGTTCTCCACAAAAACTTCCCTGGACACCTCACCGTCCTCGATGTCGAGTCTGATCATAATGTCCATACTAGGGCCGACGATGACCAGGACTTCATCAATGTCGCTGTAGTCACCCTTCTCATCGATCAGAATAGCCATTGCTTTCCCTCGGCTCGAAGCTAACCTGCATGAATAAGACCATTGCTCATCTTTCCTTATCTGATCAGTGGGCTTACCAACTTTACCATGACCTTTGGGGATGGTTTGGGATTTCCGGCTGCACTTCACGAAGTCCTTCTTCACGTAAGTTTGAACTTGAGTCTTAGACTCATCAAATCTGACCTTCTTCCTGACCACGTTCGATGCAACCTTATGGAACGTCCCTTCGTCATCACTCCAATCATGGATAAGTGCAGGTGTAGCCTTTGAGCTTGGTGCTTCGGTGTTTGGAGCAGTGTTGAATAGATGAGGATCGTGTCGTTTGTTGCATTTGTCTCCATACCGACACTTGCCCTTGGCCCAATGCCAGCATGGTTCATCAATCTTCTTGGTCTTGTTTGCCGGAGATTGACTTCTGGGAGTTCCTGGCTTCCGACCGTTGCCTTTTGCATTCTTGTTCGCATCAAACACCTTTTGGTCGTGACTGTATTCGCAATCTTTGCCTTTTCTGCATGCTTTCTTGATGAAATGGAAATGGCATGGGGTTTTCTTCTTGGATCTCGGACTGGTACTTCGGCTGTTTGCCCGATCCTTTCCTTTCCCTTGACCTTTTCCTTTTCCTTTCGCATGCTGCTTAGGCTGAGGAGATGGTAGAACTGGAGCTGCATCGGCTTTGGCCTTCGCCTTGGGTGCTGCCTTCTCCTTGGGAGTAGCCTTAGGCTTCGCTTTTGGGTTTGCATCCGGTGCAGCAGCAGTCGGATTTGGGGCAGGAGCTGAAGGTTTGCCGCCACCTGCAAAGTCTCTTGCGTACTTCTCTCTAGCGGCCACATGCTTGTCCTCTCTAATTCTGGAGATATGTCTTTCGATGACGTCCAACAGATAGCAATAGTTTCGTCTCTGATCTCCTTCAATCCATGACTCGTACTGCTTGATGTCAAACATCATAAGACTCGAATTTCGAATCTTCTTGTATAGAGCATCACGAAGCCAATCATCAGGAGGTACATCATCCGGCATCATGTTTGATACCATCTCCATCCATTTCTCATAGAACACCTCCAGGTTTGAGTCACCGAGATACTTCATTGATACGATGTGCTCCATAGTGAAGGCTGTCTCTCGTTGACCTGGGGTTCTGAAGTGCTCCAGGATCATAGCCAAGATTTCCCGTCCCATGACATAGGTTCCTCTTCGACTATGACTTTGTGTCCTCAATCTCAGTTTGATCGCTACATGACGAGCAACATCACCGGCTTGGGCTATCACATTTGACAATGCAATTGACAACTTGGCGTCGATTGACTGATACCGTTGCCCTCCACTGTCATTTAATAGCTCGATGTCAGGATTTGGTCGAATAGCCGGTTGTAACCATGCTTCCCATGCGGCTTTGTCCCCATCATTGGCAGAAAGAACAACACTCTTGATGAGATCTGATTGCCAAACCCCAAGATTCTGCTGTTTCGGCCATGGACTAACATAGACTTTGTCAGCCTCCCGTCTTGACATTCTTGGCACTTCTTCTGCTGTGTAAGCTGCTGTGGAGACATCATCTGCTGAATCACGTTGTGACCCTCGAACTGAAGGCAAACCTGGAGGTTCAGGAGGTGGTCCTGGACCGTTGGGCCCGAAAGGGTCAGGAGGTCCATCAGGGTCAGGTGGACCGCCCCATCCACTCGGTGGCTTGTAGTAGTCCCTCTCAGTTCCGTCAGCGATCTTGTTGTCGACTTCTCTCAGCAGATCAGTGATTCTTTTGTTTGATTGAGAAGGTTGTCGTTGAGGAGGTACAGCATGTTCACGATAGGACTGAGCCACATTTGTCTCATAGTTCAACTCCTTATCGATCTGCGAGACCCAAGACTTCAGAATAGCGTTTTCACAGTTAGCCTCACTCACGTCATTCTCCAGTTTGTCGATGACTAGTCTTGATGCGAGATCGTAGTTGGGAATGCCTGCAGAATAGGGAAGTGTGTCAGGGCTGACCCTAGATATGGACGTTTCAGAATCCTTGAGACTCTTTCTCATTTCATCTACTTGACGTTTCATGTCCATAATCTCAGAATTCTTGATACCGATCTTTTCATCCCTATCCTGGATTTCCCCCATGAACATGCATGATCTCTCATATTGTTGAACACCACTAGCCAACTTCATTTTGCGCTCGCTCTCTAGTTCAGACTTTAGAGTTCGGACCTCAGCATTGGTGAGGGACGACGCCCCTACATCCGCAACTTCAGTCAACCTTTCCTTTAACAACAAGTTCTCTTGTAAACATTCATGAACTTCATGATCTAGGTCCTGAACCCTGATTTGAGCGATCTTAGCTTGGTTACGTAGATCTTCAACAAGCATCTCATCGGGGCCACGACCGTCGGTCGTAGAACCCTGAGTCAACGATCTCCGTAACTTCGTGTTCTGCAACTTGATCTCATCCTTCAATTCGCAGTTCATCTTCTGCTCGTTGGCATAGAGCTCCTCATAGTGCTCTGCCCTTGCGATCGAGTTCGCACTAGCCTGTGATTCAAGCCTCAGGTGTGATATTGCTTCGGCCTCTTGGTTCCTGTATGATGCAAACCTTCTGATGGTATCATGTTCAGTGTTTCGATGCCTCAGATCACTTTCCAATTTGGCCTGATTTGCCTCGAACACCTTCTTCCTAGATTCTCTAGTGATCTCATCAATACTGCACTCATACAGCTCGGCCTGTTTACGAGACTGAACCAAAGCTTCACTCAATAGCTGATTCCGCTCAGACATTTCATGAACTGCAATTGATTGTTGTTGGCTGATCACTTCAAGTTGATTACTAGAGAAGGATGCCATTTCGGATCGATTATGATATTCCATGATCGATTTCTGGAAATCTGTTTGCATTTCTTGACCTTCATTGTATAGTCGATTGGCAATATCGGTGGTTAAGACATTGGTTTGATGAAGTTGTTGCAGTCTTGCCTCCGTATTACCCAGTAGTCCTTGAAGGTGATGTACTTCATCCTTGTACTCCTCCTGGATCTCCATACCACGTTGATGGATCCGTCGTGCACCATGTTCCATTAGGGCACCTCGGCGTTCAAGGTCTTGGATGCGCATTGTTGCACCTTCGTCTTCCTGAGATGCTACCATTAGTTCTGCTTGATATTCTGCAACCTCATTTGCGGAACATGACAATCTATTGTTGAGTGCATTGACCTCATCAAATACGTTCTGGTTGTGTTCCCGAAGATACTCAGTGAATCTGATCTCGATGTCATGAATCAGTTGATCCCTAGATGCAGCGTATGCTTCCATGTTGTTCAGCTGATTACGTAGGGATTGACATTGTGCCCGTAGTTCCTCTATCATGGCAATAGGTTCACTAGCCACAGAAGTATCCGTTGATCTCCTCTTAACACGACTATCCCCGGTCCTCTCACCAATTCGGTCGGTCACGGCCCTGGTGGATCTGTCCCTTGGAGTAGTACGCCCTCGGGATGGTCGATGCCCTTGGCGGACACCATCACTCCGAGCACTGTTTCGAGAAGATCTAGGTGTACTTTGGGTGGATATTCTTCGTCTATTTGATGTGACTTGCCATCCGGACTGTGTAGTTCGGGTAGAGCGTATCCCGCCACTGTCAGCCGTGTCGCCAGGGGAAGATTGATTGACCTCCTCGACCGGCATAGCAGCGTTCTCATTGAAGGTAAACTGCGTGGTGCGCGAATCTCCGCTGCCGCCTTGCATCTTTGCGACGATGAGCTGATTGGTCCTTTGCGTCCTCAATCAATTGCTCAGACGGCCCGGCTACCAGCACGCAGGTACCACTCTCCCGGCGGGAGAAGTGAGCCCTACGGCTGATAACCTGTGAACAAATCGATCCTTGTTCTGGATACCTTTTCAGTTGTGGTTCCCTATGTGCTGATAGTCGGGGCTGTCAAACCATGCAGCGGCAGAGCGCGTTATTTTGGCCTCGCAGTGGGTCTTGAGCCATAACGGCGTCCCGTGCAAGTATGTACATATGCTCAGCATATATAACTACTGTGTTGTCTCGTTCCCCTTCGCAAAATAATTCATATATATACATATACATTGTATATATGTATGTGTATATATATATACATTGATAAGATAGAATAGATCGGACAAATAGGATAGACAGGTTTGATTGATAGGCAGGATTGATAGGATTGATAAGATATATATAATTAGCATATGCCAAATAAAATAGGATCAACATGATGGATAAGGTAGATACGACCGGATAGGTAGATTAGATAGGATAGACAAGTATAAAAGATCGATAGGACAGGATAGATGGATTAGCTAGGATAGATAAGATAGAAGATAGGATATATATATATATAATGATATAAATCAGATAGGATAGCCAGGATAGAGAGGTCAGATAGGATAGATGGGAGCCGGCAAAATCCCCACATCGGTGGACTCCGGCTGGACAGCTGATGTGTTGCAGGGTTGTTCCAAACAGGTTTCAACATTAAACCACTAGTTCTATATGTGTTAACTTGGGTAGAAGATAGCATTTAAGCCGCATATAACCCAATTCTCTATACATACATATATATATACTTATACATATGTATGATCTTTTGTCATGATTGAACAGGAGGAACCCCAAAGTCCCATGATCTGATTCTTTTCCCTTTAGCAAAATGGTATACCTCCATTTTCAGTCACAGCCCGTCCAGTTCTTGAAGCTGCAGCTTCTGTCCGGACAGCTTTTTGTTTCTCTGAATCTATCGATGGTGAAAAGTGACAAGCTGACCAGTACAAGTTACCCGAAAGCTCGGCAAGCTAAACTCCACCATTCTCCAGCGATTTCTGGAGCGGACAATCACACCAAAGTCACGGCCTCAGACTTGAGTCCTGCAATGCTCTGCAGTTCAAGTTGAAACGGGCCAGATGTCTGAGTAAAGTTGCTCGCAATCTGAATGGCCAGCGTTTCAATCTGAGACTTGTCAAGTGGAGCCGCGCTGGCATCAGGTCTACCACGATAGAATGCAACGAAATCCTCGTTGCGAAGAAAGGGGTCCCTGCCATTTTTGTTTCCACATGAATCCATTAAAAAAAGATTCCCCAATTTCTTCAGCTTTCCCATTGTCCCCTTGAAAAGAAAGGACATCTAAAGAAATCCATCGCAACGCCAGGGATCCTTGAAGAAAGTCTCAAATGGACTCTGCTTCTTCGGCACGAAGCGCACTTGATATGAAGATCCTCATCTAGCCCAAAACCAGCCATTGGTGGATAGAAATCTCCCCGACCAAAAAGCGATAAACTATGCCCTGGCAGAAAAAGAAGTTTGTAGAGATGCGCATGAGCAGAACACTAAGACAACAATGTCATACAATGTTCATGTTTAGTGTTTCCCAATGGCCCTGAGTCCTATTTTTCCACCTTTGGTCTTCACCAGCAAGGTGTACTCATGCCCGTCCTGCCCATAAACTGCGACTGAAAGCTGTGAGGACCCCCTATGTCTCGTTGCAATCGTTGTGTGTGTGTGTGCAAATAGTCACGCCCAAAGAATGCCTTCAAAATTACCGTCATCATACTATGTTTATCCCCAATAAATTTGCTCAGGTAGTATAAGTCCTTAGCCAATGAACGAGGCTACCTTTATGGTCGATGTATCCCTTTGGTGTCCATTCACTTCGTGCGCTTGAGACTCTCTTGGAAGGCTGAGACTTTGTATTTCGGAAAACGCATCAGTAAACTCCTATTCATCCCAAACTTCAGGATCCTTCAGGACCTTTTTTCAATGTTTCTGATGACATCTGATGACAAGTTCTCCATTCTGCCAACCCCAAACGAACCCAACAGGTCCGCGTCTGAGATTGCCAAGTTCAATCCATCGAGGTCAGAGAAAGTGGCGGGAAGGACTTTCACCTGACATGGGACTGTCCCAAGGTGTGTTTGAAAATAAGGATTCACCACAGTTATATACAGATATAGCATCTTATGGCCATGTAAATAGGGACAATGTATGGGAATGATGACAGAAACCAGATGTCACCGGTGGATTTAGGGGTAACCCAATATAGATGATAGCAGGGATGATCCAGCTTGGATCACCTTTAAAGCCTTATGATGTGATCATCTCTAGAAATACATCCCCAAATTATCTCCAAATACGGCATTGCCTGTGCCCCATGCTGGATTTTAGAGGATTCTTGGCCACAGTTTACTTGATCTGTGACAAATGGACATTTTGAACACTTCAACTGAAAACGAACGTCAAATCATCCAGAGAACAAAGCCTTGAGGATCCTCAAAAGGAATCCAAGTAACATCCAGCTCCATGCCAGCAAATCCAGCTTTCAGAATGGAAGGATCCAAATTGCCGGTAAACCTCCCGAAGTTGATTCAGCAAACCCCACGACTTGTCGTGAAAAAACCGTGGCTCGCCGTTTCTCAAGGGGTGGCCACAAAAAAAGAATGTGGGTCAGAACAACAGGTGACACTCTGAAATACATCCGATCTTTCGCACAACGATTTGAACTTCTCATGGTCTGGCAAAAAACATGGAAATATATGGAAATATCTATTCTTCAGGAAAGGATACATGGCCATACGGACCTGCATTTGACATGGCACCAGTATGCACCGGTCAGGAAAGCAACAAGTCAATTAGCTACCTATGCTCTGACTATCTTTATCATGTTTTTGCCTTAGATAGAAAATTATATAAATGATCATAAATGTAGCAGCCCCCAAATAGATCGACACTCGTAAAATCCCATCAAAATGTCATGCATATCATATCACTGTTCTACCTTTTTGGATCCTTTTTTGGTGCATATTATCTGATTGGAAACCTGTTTGTTTCCAGCAGCCCTGCCTGGCACCTGCTGCGCAGGGCTCCAGCTTTGCCGTGGACACGCCACCCCGTACCTGGTCCGTGACGGCTCGCCAATTGGAAAAGTGCCAGTCCACCGACCTGCCGGGTTTTCGGCTGCGGTTCTACTGTGGAGCTTTGGAAGTGGTAAACCATGGTAAACCCAATGCCACAAAGCCATACAAAGCCATACAAAGCCACCATCCCGCTTAGAGCCATTTACTCCACCTATTCAAAACCCATCATCGGTTCGATCCATTTCGTGTTGATGAAATTGGATAGGTATCTCCAAGTTATCGTCAAGTGGCCCTCCAAGCAAGGGCACGGTGGCAAACTGCTGAGTTTCAGCCAGCACCGACGTCACAGCCAACGCTGCAGCCGCCACAACTCTCCGAAACGCGGCCATGGCAAATGTGGCAACGGTTGAGTCGGTTGAGTGGCTCACAAGAAACTCGTGCTGCTCGTGGCTGTTTTCAACGGCTCGAGCCCAAAGTTTCGAGCAAAGTTGCTCGAATGTCAAGCAAGGCACCTAATCATAGGTACCCTCTGGTAAACTAACATAGCTATTGAAAATGGCCATTTATAGTGGATTTACCCATTAAAAATGGTGATTTTCCGTAGTTACGTTAGTTTACCAGAAGGTATATATATAGTATTGTACAAATATCGGAAAGTCGGAAAAGCTGCCCCAGTCCAAGGATGTGCCCGTACCCATATTATCCAAGTGATTGGTACCGACCTGCTTACATGCTGTATTGAATCACGTCACATCAGAATGATGCTGAAATCTCAATTCTTGACGAGACCCAATTCGCCTATATATAAAATAATTCATATATATATATATATTGTATATGTATATATATATATTGATAAGATAGAATAGATTGGACAAATAGGATAGACAGGTTTGATTGATAGGTAGGATTGATAGGATTGATAAGATATATAATTAGCATATGACAAATGAAATAGGATCAATATGATGGATAAGGTAGATACGACCGGATAGGTAGATTAGATAGGATAGACAAATATAAAGATAGATAGGACAGGATAGATAAATTAGCTAGGATAGATAAGATAGAAGATAGGATATATATATATATATAATGATACATAATGATATAAATCAGATAGGATAGCCAGGATAGAGAGGTCAGATAGGATAGATGGGAGCCGGCAAAATCCCCACATCGGTGGACTCCGGCCGGACAGCTGATGTGTTGCAGGGTTGTTCCAAACAGGTTTCAACATTAAACCACTAGTTCTAATATGTGCTAACTTGGGTGAAAGATACCATTTATAAGCCAATTCTCTATATACATATGTATATATATATATATTTATTTATACTTACACATATGTATGATCTTTTATTATGATTGAACAGGAGGAACCCCAAAGTCCCATGATCTGATTCTTTTCCCTTTAGCAAAATGGTATACCTCCATTTTCAGTCACAGCCCGTCCAGTTCTTGAAGCTGCAGCTTCTGTCCGGACAGCTTTTTGTTTCTCTGAATCTATCGATGGTGAAAAGTGACAAGCTGACCAGTACAAGTTACCCGAAAGCTCGGCAAGCTAAACTCCACCATTCTCCAGCGATTTCTGGAGCGGACAATCACACCAAAGTCACGGCCTCAGACTTGAGTCCTGCAATGCTCTGCAGTTCAAGTTGAAACGGGCCAGATGTCTGAGTAAAGTTGCTCGCAATCTGAATGGCCAGCGTTTCAATCTGAGACTTGTCAAGTGGAGCCGCGCTGGCATCAGGTCTACCACGATAGAATGCAACGAAATCCTCGTTGCGAAGAAAGGGGTCCCTGCCATTTTTGTTTCCACATGAATCCATTAAAAAAAGATTCCCCAATTTCTTCAGCTTTCCCATTGTCCCCTTGAAAAGAAAGGACATCTAAAGAAATCCATCGCAACGCCAGGGATCCTTGAAGAAAGTCTCAAATGGACTCTGCTTCTTCGGCACGAAGCGCACTTGATATGAAGATCCTCATCTAGGCCAAAACCAGCCATTGGTGGATAGAAATCTCCCCGACCAAAAAGCGATAAACTATGCCCTGGCAGAAAAAGAAGTTTGTAGAGATGCGCATGAGCAGAACACTAAGACAACAATGTCATACAATGTTCATGTTTAGTGTTTCCCAATGGCCCTGAGTCCTATTTTTCCACCTTTGGTCTTCACCAGCAAGGTGTACTCATGCCCGTCCTGCCCATAAACTGCGACTGAAAGCTGTGAGGACCCCCTATGTCTCGTTGCAATCGTTGTGTGTGTGTGTGCCAATAGTCACGCCCAAAGAATGCATTCAAAATTACCGTCATCATACTATGCTTATCCCCAATAAATTTGCTCACGTAGTATAAGTCCTTAGCCAATGAACCAGGCTACCTTTATGGTCGATGTATCCCTTTGGTGTCCATTCACTTCGTGCGCTTGAGACTCTCTTGGAAGGCTGAGACTTTGTATTTCGGAAAACGCATCAGTAAACTGCTATTCATCCCAAACTTCAGGATCCTTCACCTTTTTTCAATGTTTCAGATGACATCTGATGACAAGTTCTCCATTCTGCCAACCCCAAACGAACCCAACAGGTCCGCGTCTGAGACTGCCAAGTTCAATCCATCGAGGTCAGAGAAAGTGGCGGGAATGACTTTCACCTGACATGGGACTGTCCAAAGGTGTGTTTGAAAATAAGGATTCACCACAGTTATATACAGATATAGCATCTTATGGCCATGTAAATAGGGACAATGTATGGGAATGATGACAGAAACCAGATGTCACCGGTGGATTTAGGGGTACGACATTTTCACACAAACCCAATATAGATGATAGCAGGGATGATCCAGCTTGGATCACCTTTAAAGCCTTATGATCTGATCATCTCTAGAAATACATCCCCAAATTATCTCCAAATACAGCATTGCCTGTGCCCCATGCTGGATTTTAGAAGATTCTTGGCCACAGTTTACTTGATCTGTGACAAATGGACATTTTGAACACTTCAACTGAAAACGAACGTAAAATCATCCAGAGAACAAAGCCTTGAGGATCCTCAAAAGGAATCCAAGTAACATCCAGCTCCATGCCAGCAAATCCAGCTTTCAGAATGGAAGGATCCAAATTGCCGGTAAACCTCCCGAAGTTGGTTCAGCAAACCCCACGACTTGTCGTGAAAAAACCGTGGCTCGTGGCCACAAAAAAAGAGGGTCAGAACAACAGGCGACACCTGTTAAGACCTGAAAATGATCCGATCTTTCGCACAACGATTTGAACTTCTCATGGTCTGGAAAAAACATGGAAATATATGGAAATATCTATTCTTCAGGAAAGGATACATGGCCATACGGACCTGCATTTGACATGGCACCAGTATGCACCGGTCAGGAAAGCAACAAGTCAATTAGCTACCTATGCTCTGACTATCTTTATCATGTTTTTGCCTGCTGACTCGTTACCGTCCCACAAATCCACACATCCGCATCCGATAGTCTGGGGTGGGGTGGGGTGGAATGATAACGTCATTGGCATTTCCACATGATCTTGATGCTACGCTCTATGATCTTCATTGGCATTTCCACATGATCTTGATGCTACGCTCTATGATCTTCATTGGCAATTCCACATGATCTTGATGCTACGCTCTATGATCTTCAATTGCCATTCATATCCGATTCTTCATTGGCATTTCCACATGATCTTGATGCTACGCTCTATGATCTTCATTGGCATTTCCACATGATCTTGATGCTACGCTCTATGATCTTCATTGGCATTTCCACATGAACTTGATGCTACGCTCTATGATCTTCATTGGCATTTCCACATGATCTTGATGCTACGCTCTATGATCTTCATTGGCATTCCACATGATCTTGATGCTACGCTCTATGATCTTCAATTGCCATTGCACACATCCGCATCCGATAGTCTGGGGTGGGGTGGGGTGGGGTGGGGTGGGATGATAACGTCATTTCCACGCTTGGGTTCTATTCTTGCCTATGGTCTTTGTGTTACTGAGACGTTATATATTTCCCGTTGGCATATACATGCAGACATGAATACGTTAACAATAGTTTCCTTCAGATTGTTGGATCCTCCAGAATGGGCTTGTCGTCGTGTTTGCAATGTGGACTAAAAACATCCTGAAACTTTCTTTAAGTTTTTTTTAACGGTATCTGCATGTTTGAGCATGGAAACTTGGGAATTTATACTAGTAATATATGATGTGAAGAGCCTTTATATTTTTAAGATTTCGGCGACTGTCGCACCAGAACCCTGAAGAACAGGGGGAAAGTCAAGATCCACACGGGTCACGTAGATGGATTCTGGAAGGTCCTCAAAGAAGCCATCCCTGGAAGTTTACCCTCGAAAAAGGGCCAGGCACGCAATCCTCAAATATGGAAATGCATGCGTTCTTTCCAGTGGCGGTGGGAGTGCACAGGTAAAAACCTGATGGAAACCACCGCTGACACGTTGAAGAAAATTTGAGAAAAAGTTGCGGTTGCCCTTTTTCAGGCTGAAGTCATGGAAGGGTTGTTATTCACAAAGTAGATGGACCTTTTTTTGGGAGAGGTTTTCAATGAAAGAAAACGCTCCTCGCTGTGACGAAATACTCATTTTCATCATTTTCGTGGGCCGGCAACGCTTCCGCCGGGATGTTTTTGCCTTAGATAGACTATTATATAAATGATCATAATGTAGCAGCCCCCAAATAGATCGACATTCGTAAAATCCCAGCAAAATGTCATGCATATCATATCACTGTTCTACCTTTTTGGATCCTTTTTTGGTGCATATTATCTGATTGGAAACCTGTTTGTTTCCAGCAGCCCTGCCTGGCACCTGCTGCGCAGGGCTCCAGCTTTGCCGTGGACACGCCACCCCGTACCTGGTCCGTGACGGCTCGCCAATTGGAAAAGTGCCAGTCCACCGACCTGCCGGGTTTTCGGCTGCGGTTCTACTGTGGAGCTTTGGAAGTGGTAAACCATGGTAAACCCAATGCCACAAAGCCATACAAAGCCATACAAAGCCACCATCCCGCTTAGAGCCATTAGTCCACTTATTCAAAACCCATCATCGGTTCGATCCACTTAGTGTTGATGAAATTGGGTAGGTATCTCCAAGTTATCGTCAAGTGGCCCTCCAAGCAAGGGCACGGTGGCAAACTGCTGAGTTTCAGCCAGCACCGACGTCACAGCCAATGCTGCAGCCGCCACAACTCTCCGAAACGCGGCCATGGCAAATGTGGCAACGGTTGAGTCGGTTGAGTGGCTCACAAGAAACTCGTGCTGCTCGTGGCTGTTTTCAACGGCTCGAGCCCAAAGTTTCGAGCAAAGTTGCTCGAATGTCAAGCAAGGCACCCAATCATAGGCTGGTTGGTGGTTTCAACCCCTCTGAAAAATATGAGAGTCAGTTGGGGTTATTATTCCCAATATACGGAAAAATAAAGCCATGTTCCAAACCACCAACCAGTAGGTAGTATTGTACAAATATGGGGCAACCAGTCGGAAAGTCGGAAAGTCGGCTGCCGGTTCCAGTGATTTCCCGATGACTTTTCGTTGTCCAAGGCTGTGCCGAATCATCCAAGAATCATGTCACATCAGAATTTTTATGACTTCACAAAATATAAATTGAGACTAGAAGAGACTTAATTCAGATGTGACATCAATCATGACTTCATCAGATTTTTTTTGTGACTAGACCCAATTCGCCTATCTATATATATATATATATATGCTAGCCCCCCTGAGATCCACTTTTGAAGCTGTTTGCAATGAGTTTGAGCATGTAGAGCAAAAACTACCAAAACTATTTTTTAAGCACATACAGCATATACATCTAGATGGAAAAAGTATTCTGTACATAAGTTCACTAAAAATAATATCTTTTGATAAACACTTTTCACGATCAAAGAAAAGTAAGTTTTTAATAAAATCATCAAGATAACTTTAAAATTGTTCTAGAATATATTTTAAAAAATGTAAAAAATAAAGCACACAAAATAAAACTACTATCAGCTAAATCAAACAAGAATTCTTAAATTGCATAAATGTATATAAATAAAATTAAAAATAAACAAGGTAATGTTTTACATAACTGTTGTATATTTATTTGTGTATAGTCTGCTGTTAGATACACATTATTATTGCTAAAATATGTTCTCAACCATGTTAATTGTCTTTTAGCATAATTTCTTGTACGCTGCTTTGCTTTTTCCACAGCATCTAAGTAATAAATATCCATATTAATAAACTCTAATAATTCTGTTACACCTATAATTTTATCTGCACATTTTGCTTCTAAATTATTTTGTTTTATTGTTTACTTCTTTAATACCTACTTCATTCACTAAATAAGAGCAGCGCTTATTACACTTTTTATATAAAAATTCTCTATCAGTGATGCTTGCTGATGCCATCCTTGCTTTGGTTGCACAGCGCCCGCCGCAGAACAAGAAGGAACAAATGAGCACAAGTACACGACACGCAGAACAAAATAACAAGAACGAAGACAACTTCTTGCAAAGCTTTCGCAAGCACACCGGTACACACTCACTGGGGCTGTAGGTTGCAATTGCGGTGTGCCCGCCCCACCTGCCGGCACGAAGTTTCGCGGCTTCATCTTGCATTTCCTGAAAGCCCGGCTCAGTCAAGGCCTGCGCTGTCATGAAGTTAGCAACATCAAAGCGGAGCGCTCGGCCATCAAGAGCATGAAACAGGCAGTCGCCGTCTCCACCCACTTTGACAATGCGCCAGCCCACACTTGATGCCTCCGCGCACACATGAAGCTGCTGCAGCAAGCTAAATGTTTTTTTTAAGCGGTTTCATATACATACATCAGGTGGCAATATGGGCAACATGCATTCAATTCAATGCTTTAAGCATACACACTTACAGCCAAGGGATTTGGGCTGCGCCTCTGCATTCGGCATGCTGGTGAGCTTTACCAGTAAACTTTTCCACAAGTCCTGGACATCAGCAGCAAGGCACTTTACAGCAATGTCTGAAGCATTTTTTTCCTTGTGCGGGACTCCTGCTGCTATCGCCACAAGTCGTGACTGACGGGGGCAACAGCTTGGAATGCTGAACTACTTGGCTGCAGCGAGCATTTCCAAACGTCATGCAGAGCATATATGCTAGCTCCTTGCAACAAGCATGACCCACATCCTTGCACACTTGCATGCAGATGTGCAACGCAATCAAAACATATAACTTATAATCATAGCACTTTGCGATCGGCAGCGACATTTAAAATGAGCTGTGCGTCGATCTGTTACTGCAAAGCACTTGGGCTACACAATGACACTCCACGGAGATGCAATCAAACCAGCATTGTTCGGCGAAGCCTGGCTATCGCAGCATGTGCCACCTCTGGGTGGTCAGCTCGCAAACTATAATGCTGTGGACCACCTCGAACCAGAGGCGGCGAGGAAGCCATAGCTCACCCGTCTTTGTGCGCAAGTGCCGCTGCCAGACCTCCAACATCTCTAAGGTCCAGGATTGTTCCAGAAGCACGCGGGTAAACACTCCTACCTATGCGGGCAGCGGCCAAGAAGGTAGCAGGTGTGACTTAACTTCGCAACCGTCGCCTCCACATGAAGCCCCAGATCCAACCCGTAGATCACAGCATACCAGAATGGGCAGGGCAATGTGTGATTAGCACAGCGCTGCTGCAAATCACGCTGCCACACAGACATGAACCCCCACCGCGTATGTGATTCGGGGTGCATGACAGCACATATGAATCTATATGTTTCTGCTTCCAATGATGGAGACAGCTCAGATTACATGTAAACACAAAATAACTATTAAACAAGCTAACATCTGCTACCTTATTCCCGAGAGCGTCTGAGCGCAGGGTTCTTCCAATAGTTGGGGTCTGTCCCTCATCTTCTCATCTTCACATCTTCTCATCTTCACATCTTCTCATCTTCACATCTTCTCATCTTCACATCTTCTCATCTTCACATCTTCTCATCTTCACATCTGCTCATCTTCACATCTTCTCACTTCACATCTTCTCATCTTCACATCTTCTCACTTCACATCTTCTCACTTCACATCTTCTCATCTTCACATCTTCTCATCTTCACATCTTCTCATCTTCACATCTTCACATCTGCTCATCTTCACATCCTCCCATCTTCACATCCTCCCATCTTCACATCTTCTCCTCTTGCCCTCTTGCCCTCTTGCCCCTCTTGCCCTCTACTTCTTTTCTATTTCTCTTCTGAAGGCGGGGGCAGGGGCAGTGCCAACGAGACGGCACGAAACCCAACCCTTTCGCACGAAATGAGGGTCGATCGCCAAAAACTGAGTTAAAATGGCGATTTGAAGGTGTCCCGCGCAACCCGTTCGCACGAAATGAGTGTCGATCGCCAAAAACTGAGGTAAAATTGCGATTTTTTCTGTGTGTACAAAGCTTCTGTGTGCTGTGTGTGAAAGCTTCTGTGTGTGAAAGCATCTGTGTAAAAGCGTTTGTGTAAAAGCGTCTGTGGCACAATCTTCTGTGTGTAAAAGCTTCTGTGTAAAAGCTTTTGTGCATAAAAGCGTTTGTGTAAAAAGCGTCTGTGTAAAAGCTTCTGTGGCACAATCTTCTGTGTGTAAAAGCTTCTGTGTGTAAAAACTTCTGTGTGTAAAACCTTCTGTGTGTAAAAGCATCTGTGTAAAAGCGTCTGTGTGTAAAGCCGTCAGTGTGTAAAAGATTCTGTTGTGTAAAATCTTCTGTGTGTAAAAGCCTCTGTGTGTAAAAGCGTCTGTGTGTAAAGCCGTCTGTGTGTAAAAGTTTCTGTTGTGTAAAAATGTCTGTGTGTCAAAGCGTTTGTGTGTAAAAGTGTCTGCGTGTAAAAGCGTGTGTGTGTGTGTAAAAGTGTCTGTGTGCAAGAGTGTCTGTGTGTAAAAGTGTCTGTGTGTAAAAGCTTCTGTGTGTAAAAGCGTTTGTGTAAAAAGCGTCTGTGTAAAAGCTTCTGTGTGTACAATCTTCTGTGTGTAAAAGCCTCTGCGTGTAAAAGCTTCTGTGTGTAAGATCTTCTGTGTGTAAAAGCCTCTGTGTGTGAAAGCGGCTGCGTGTAAAGCCGTCTGTGTGTAACAGTTTCTGTTGTGTATAAGTGTCTTTGTGTCAAAGCGTTTGTGTGTAAAAGTGTCTGCGTGTAAACGCGTCTGCGTGTACAAGCGTCTGCGTGTAAAAGTGTCTGTGTGTAAAAGCGTGTGCGTGTAAAAGCGAGTGTGTGTGTGTGTTAATACAGTAGCACGGGTTTCTGGTGTTCGAGTGTGCTGCATCTGTCGCGGACTCAGGCTCCATGTGTTTTTTCTGCGTCAGGTTGTTTCACATATGCATAGGCACTTCTGGCTGCATTTGCTATGTGTTTTTCATCTGAGACGATCGGAGTTGTTGTTCACTGTGATTTTGCCTGAGCTATTGCGTGAGCAGTTGCATTTGTTGAAGGCATCAGGAGCTATTCGTCTTGATCCCGGCTCAAGCTCTTCGATAATAAGTTTCTGTGTGTACAAAGCTTCTGTGTGCTGTGTGTGAAAGCTTCTGTGTGTAAAAGCATCTGTGTAAAAGCGTTTATGTAAAAGTGTCTGCTTAAAAGCTTCTGTGTGCTCTGTGTCAAAGTGTCTGTGTGTCAAAGCGTCTGTGTGTAAAAGTTTCTGTGTGTAAAGGTGTCTGTGTGTAAAACCGTCTGTGTGTAAAAGCGTCTGTGTGTAAAAGCTTCTGTGTGTAAAAGCGCCTGTGTGTAAAGGCTTCTCTGTGTAAGGTGTTCTCTGTGTAAAAGCTTGCTCTGTGTAAAAGCTTCTGTGTGTAAAAGTGTTTGCAATGCAAACTATTGTCTTGTACTTGTGCTATATTGTCTTGATACTCCTCTTCTCGACTGCCTATAACACATCTTTAATATATTGTTTTGTAAGATGGTGTCTCCATACTAACAAGAGAAGACCCTGCTCCTCTACGCTCTCGGGCCATCCGTCGTCTAGTTTTTGTTTAAATGTTATGATATGGATCTTACAGTCTCATGCAAAACACTGTAGGCTCTTAGTATTCTATATCTATCTTTAGAAGATATCCTATACTCGTCAATATGATGTTTATCTTCTCTTGTTAATATATCATACAAAGCTTTGATACCTGTTGTTTTTTTTCAAAATTACTAACATGCTCTGTGGTTGCACAAGATATGTGTGGTATGTAATCTATGCTATACAATAAAGAATGTATATAAAAATTCCTTCCTCCAACTATCTCCAACTATATTTATTTGTTTTTCCTAAATTGCTAAAATCATTAATAACTTTTTTTTACATCACTAATATACCTTACAACATCATATTTATCTTCTATATCTACATAATTATATAATAAATGAGGTGTAATAGATTTTTCAATGCTGCTAGGACTAGAAGTAATGTGATCTAAACCTTTATAAACTTGCATAGCATGACTATTTATAAACTTGCATAGCATCACTATTTATTATAACACCATTAATTTCTTTCGATAAATTAATAGCAAAGCTAGATTTACCAGTGCAGGTAGGCCCACAAATAACAATAATAGTATTAACATTTTGCATAACATTAATAAAACATAATTGTATTTAGTGTATATACAATCATTTGCACATCTAACAACAGCTTTAAAAATAATTTAGATTCAATAAACTGTTCATTATTTTGATTTTTCTCGTTAGTTTATTCATATAATTACTACACTATAAATTAATATGCATACTTCAAATTCTACAAACCTTGTTAATCTTATACAGTCTAACGTATTGTCTTATATAAAAATAGTTTGCAATTTAAAAATAAAGCTAAATAACACTGCCTAATAAAGGTTTTTAAAAGATTTTTTTAATATGTGCCTTAACAATCAGTGTAAATTTTAAACAAAACTACAACTACTAATTAAAATAAACATTTATCGTCCATTAAATTAATGCATTATTCATTTTAAAAAATACAAACAAAAATACTAATAGCTACATAAACAGCAACTACAAAAAACAAATCCTTAATCAACTTGCATAAAACATAAGCTGTGCACCATGAAAATAATAAATATCAAAAAACAATAGTAAATTAATTACAAGAAAATTCCTTCGTAATTCATTACTACAAAATCGTAAGATAAGTTTTTTAGATCTGCTATTTGTTGTGCTACATAAACAACTTTTGCTGGAGTGTTTTGCTTTCCTCTAAAAGGCCCAGGAGCAAGATATGGAGAATCTGTTTCAACTGAAATTCTATCAATTGGCAAATACTGTACTATTTCTTGAAGTAATTTAGCATTCTTAAAGGTTACGATACTAGATAGAGAAATGTAAAAACCTAGATCTAAAGCCGCTTTTGCTAAATCTTTTCCAGAAGAAAAATAATGGATTAATGCTTTAAATTGTTTATTCATGCACCAGAATGAGAGCCATGGCTCGTGCAAGACAAGGACAAAAGAGAGTGCTTAAGAAGAAATGCTTCAGGTCATGTACATGGATTAAAGGACCAAAGCAAACACAAAACCAAAAAAACAAAAAAAACAAAACTTTGAAGAGACTTTTTGGTTTAGCCTCAAAAGATGGTTTTCTTTTTGTTTTTTTGGGTTTTGAAATGCAAAAACAAGAAAAACTTGTATTTTTTTTTGAAGAAACTCACACAAAAAAAGTGTTTTTCGGTTTTTGCATTTCAAAACCAAAAAAAGAAAAAAAAACACACAAGGGAGAAAAAAAAACATCTTTTGAGGCTAAACCAAAAAGTCTCTTCAAAGTTTTGTTTTTTTGGTTTTGGGTTTTGAGGTTTTGGGGTTATTGTCATTCTCTACATATTACAAGCTTTCAGATATACCAAGATAAAGAACAGGGTTTATATTATCTATGTGTGTGTGTCTTATATATATGTATGTGTCTTGAAGGACATGATACAAGAGGCTTTGAGGTGGATCTCAGGGGGGGGTACCATATATATATATCCAAAAGAACATGTACATAAATATATATATATATTGATATGCATATATACATATGCATGTTCTTTTGGTCAAGATCAAAGCCAACCCAAAGATTGATCTACCATAGACCAGTGGTGAGGAGAGTGACACCTCCTTTGCTGCAATCTCTTCGCCGATCTTCTTCATACGCTTTCGACCTTGCTTTCATTCAGAACCACCCCAGGGAGTTGAAATAAGGCCATTTTGAGATGATTCCCCTTATTCACCATGATTGCAGTCAGGGAGCAGTGAGGTCGTTATAATTTGACCAGAAAATACACTGTGGGACTTCATGGGATGTAAAGGGGATTTTAAAGGAGCTATACATAATGGGATTGCCCTCTGGTAATGACTAACAGTTTGCAAACTGGAAAATGGCCCATTTATAGATCATTTACCTACTATTAAAATGGTGATTCTCTATTGCTAGTTTGAACTACCAGAGGATAAAACTGGTGGGTTTCGCTGAGTTTCAGCAACAAACATATATGGAAATTACACAGATGTGATTTTGTTTGGTACATGAATCTAATTATGGGGCTGACACTTGGGATTGAAACATTTGTAGTTTTGGCAACATAAACTATATGGGATTTGAACAACAAATAATATGGTGTTGACAAAAACGAGATGTGGGTATGGATCCAAATTTCGTTCCACTCATCTCCTTCATTCCATTGTTCTTCATATCCTTCTTCACTCACCATGTGTTCAATAGTAACTTGTGATGGGATACCCTCTGGTAAACTAACACAGCTACGGAAAATCACCATGTTTAATGGGAAAATCCACTATAAATGGCAATTTTCAATAGCCATGTTAAATTACCAGAGGGTAACTATTGAAGCCTTCGCCACCAAGTTCGCATCGAAGCCTTCCCGCAGCCCTGGAGCCCCCGACTGTTCGCAGCAACACGGTCGCAGGTGGTCTGTTCACTCATCTCCTGTTGGAATCGAAACCAGCGACTTTGGGCGAGAGAAACCAAGAGAAATGTGTTAAAAAAAAACAAAAAACGTATCTGAACTAGCTTAAAGTCTAGGAAATAGATGGAAATAGTTTATATTTATGATCAGTAAAAACCACTGTGTCAGAAAATTTGTGTCAGAGATTTATAGTTGATTTATGATAGCTACGTTGGCTTTTAACTAGCTTAACTGGTGCTAATGCGCTTATGTCTATAATTCTATAGATGGGTTACACCGACTGATATCATTGAGAACTGGCCCTGCCTTCCTGCAGGTGGTAGAATTATCAAATGGAAGCTCTCTTCGAATTGTTGACCGATGAGGTCTCTCGAGATACATGATCATAGTTTCGTCATCTTCTGACTGGTGCTAAACGTAGGGAATTTTCGGGAATGATCCATTTCATCACTAGTGCCCCAATCATCCCAGCAACCCCCAGCAACCCCCAGCAACCCCCAGCAACCTATCCATTCCCTACGTAAAACGCACCAGTAAGTTTCAACATCCATTGCCAATCTTAGATACCCTGCAAAAAATGACAAATTCTTGGCTGGTTAATTAGTAGATATTCCCACTGATACCAAAAGACTAGTTAGGATTATTAGTACTTACCCATCTAAGATTATCACATTTACATCCATTAACATCCCATTACCCTAGCATCTTTCACCGTATGTCCGAGACCGTCACGACCGTCCTCTTCGATCTTGCTCAAGATGGCGGTGATTTCTCTGGAGACGTTCTGCATGTTGCGGTCCAAGACTTCCAAGGAACGCGTTTGCTCCTTGGACCCAAGAAGTGGTTACCTGGTTGGCCCGTTGTTCAAAGAAAATCCCAGTAGATTCCAAATGATTCCAAAGGAAACAGATGGAACTTAGAAACATCCCAGTTGATTTTTGATATTCTCGTAAATGTGGATCAATGATGATTGAACATGATTGATCCTATCCCCCATTTTGTTCAACACCGTCACCATGGACCATGGTGGATGTAGGGCAACGGGGGATGGGATGAGATCCAAGGATCGGTGATGCCCGCTTTGTACTTCTGAGTTTCTTCAGAATGTTCATCCATGCCTCAGTACGACAGCGAAGCACAACAATCAGCTGCTATTTGGAAGTCACCGGATGAGTCCGTTATCTTGACAGGATGACATCAACTGATGATACCTCTACCGCCTCTACCGCCGTTTTTCCAGACTCCAACATGATCCCCCTGGGCTCCACCATCTGCCGGGCAGCTTTTGTTGAGCGTGCTGTACTGATCCATGAGTCTTTCCTGAGCTGCCAGCCACCCTGGCCCTGGCCCTGGCCCGAGAGAATCATGGTTGATCCAAAAATGGAGTTCTACCAGCCCGGGACAATCATTATAATAAAGATTGTGAAGCTCCATGGTCCATGGCATCCATGGATTCCTCATGTGAAAAAGACATGTCAGCTGTACTCCGAGAAGAAAAAGAAAAACGCAACCACTCATGGCCAATCCTAGATTCCTAGATACCCTGATTCTGATATATATATAATTGATATATATATATATATATAATTGATATATATATATATATACATATAATTATATATATAATTATGTATATATATATAATTATCCCGCCGGACCGGAAACCGTTCCCATAAAACGCACATTTTTTAAAAAAATTGTGATTTTACCACAGTGCCCTGCTAATTTGATGATTGGAAATCCTGGAAAAACTTGGGGCGCGTTTTTTCGTTTTTCAGCGTCATCGCTGCAATGCATGCGTAGTAAACAGCTGGCAGTCAGCATTCTTGTGAATGCATCTCCATTGCCAAGCTCTTAGAGATCTCAGAGATCTCAGCAGCGTAGCAACATGTATGTAACGTAGTAAACGATCCCAGAGATCTCAGCAGCGTAGCGACATGTAACGTAGTAAACGATCCCAGAGATCTCAGCAGCGTAGCAACATGTAACGTAGTAAACGATACCAGAGATCTCAGCAGCGTAGCAACATGTATGTAACGTAGTAAACGATACCAGAGATCTCAGCAGCGTAGCAACATGTATGTAACGTAGTACACGATCCCAGAGATCTCAGCAGCGTAGCAACATGTATGTAACGTAGTAAACGATACCAGAGATCTCAGCAGCATAGCAACATGTAACGTAGTAAATAATCCCAGAGATCTTAGCAGCATGGCAATCTATCATGTACGAAGTACAAGGAACGTTAACATGCCCCCCCACCCCACCCCACCCCACCCCACCCCACAATCGCGATATTCAAAAACGCGCGTTTTACGGGAACGGTTTTCGGTCCGCAGGCATAATTATGTATATATATAATTAATATATAAATATATATGTATATATCATATATATATATATATACATACATACACCAGATTAGATTAGGTTCTCTGAAACCATACGCCCATCCAGCTGACCGAAACTCAACCACCACATAGCCATGTTTGTTCTTCACCCAGCGTCTCTCTCTTGCTTCAAGTTCGTCATCTGAGATTGCAAGTACTGCATCTCTTTCTCATTGCGATCCTCAGCCAGGTGCACTTTTTGTGTCAATAGAAATGGGATGCAAAACTACAATCTGATTGATGGGTCAAGATGAAAACCATACATGACCAACCCTTTTCTGAGTTTTTTTGGGGGATCAGAAAACCCGCGGGGGGTAGGTCACAACCAAAAATCTCAAGCTTTGCAGTAGACATCACATATCAGGAGGGATGGCCTTGATTTCCTTCGAAAACTCCCGAACTAAATGGATGTTTTATTGGGAAAATCAACTATATAAATGGTGGATTTTCCAGCAAACCTTGTTGGATTACCAGAGGGTTTGTGTGGTTGTAGATAGGTAAAAATAGACACTAGACAAGTTTGAGACTTCCCCTTTGTGTGGCCTTGTTCTTCTGGTTGCTCCATGTCTGTATCACTGGTGATCCACGCGGCTTTTTTTCACATAAGTCCACCATTTCTGGGGCCCCCAAACGCTATGCTTGATGGTTTATAACCCTCATGAACTATATAAATATAGTTTGTTACATCTACATATATATATATACTATATACCATGATATACAAAGTGAAATTGGAGTTATAAACCCACCAACTTTAGTTTTTTTTTAGAACAGGGGCCCCACATTCCACTATTTCTGGCTGATCCTACGGACTCTGACAAACTAACCAGCTACGATCCGTGTGATCCTTCAAATACCAACCTGGTTGTCATAAATCAACATAAATCCGCTACAAATTCCATACCATCCCATACAATCCATATATCAACTCCCGTGAAATCCATATGAAATCTGATAACATATAAACGTCCCATCATTCTTTCGCCGAAATCTCCACTTTGGGCTTGACTGCCCGTTTCGTCCCACGAAAAAACCCACAGTGACGCACGGCCGAGCCACTCGAAGCGCACAGAGCTGCTCGTGCCGCTCCTGACGAAAGTATGATGGGATATTATCATGGAATTTCGAACCAATAATCTGAAAATATCATAATAATTTCAGATAACAATCATTAGCAATCCAACAATATTATTATTAATATCTGTGGGGTAATATGTTATTATCAGATTATGATTATTGATCAGATTATTATGATATCATCACATTGATTGCTGATGAAACATAGATTATGAATGATTATGATTATTGATAACAATCCCACAAAATATCTATGGTGTATGTTTTTCTATGGTCTATGGTATATATCATCAGAATCATATCATGGGATTCGAATCAACTTATACCACCCTCCAGTAAATTAACATACACCCTGGCAGTCATCGGCGTTGGAAGATGAGTTTCCACTAAAAATTGGTGATTTTCAGGGTCCAACTGTTAATTTACCAGAGGGTAACAATTGTGTATATGGTGTATATGGTATGATTGTCGTTGGTGTATATGGTATGATTGTGGTTTTGAGAAGCCGGATTTCATCACCGAACACAAAAACGACATTCAATGGATTGGTTTCACGCTCACTTCCGAGGCCTGGATCATGTGTGACCAAGGTGTGACCAGGGTCCCATTGAACCGAACAACCTTCCAATCTCTAAAGTTGGGATTTATAAAAATTAATTATATTATTATATCATCTTTATATTATTATATCTTTATATTATATCATCTTTATATTATATCATCTTGAGATATCATGAAATTTGGAGATATCTCCCGCACCGACCCATGAAATACCCATGAATCATCCTGACAAATTAATGACAGCGAAGCTCACCCCACCTGTTCGGTGCGAATTGAGGCGTGAAGACCACGGATCTCGTTCTCAATCGCCAGCTCTGCCTACGGCATCCCGCTAAGCGGTACCCGAAAAAGGGACGTACCTATTTTAGGATCCATAAGGTCTAAGGAAAATTTATGATGTCAATAAATATAAGTAAAGATTGTATGAAAATACAATCTTCATATTTATTAAGTCAATAAAATATGATTGTAAATATATGAGTTAAGTCAGTTTATATACGAGGTCAGTTCTTGTCAAGTGGATATGAGTCAAGTCCATTGTCAACCCAAATATCTGCGTTCAAGTAGGGAAGGCAATGAATTCGCACCAAGGGTTGGTTAATGTTGGTTTAAGGAAAAGGCAAAAACAAAGGATTTACATGGATTTACCATCCAGGTCTAGTCTAGCCGTTTCCTGTATAATGTTTGGTCTCTGAAACCAACCAACTGATAGTTAAACAATGTTAAGCAATAGGAAACCACCAAACAACTGGGGATGGTGCTTCCCCCAGGATCTATGTGATAATCCCAGTCATAAGTAGGGTAGGGGCGTCCAGTCCAGTCATGGGCTGTGAACTCACGCCCTGGGATGAACCACCAGGCATTAATAACATACAAAATAGCCCAGTTCCACTCTAAAACCACAAGCCTTCGCAAACCATAATCCATCTGCTCCCTTGACAGCTTCACCAGGTTCCACAGGTTGGTTCAATCCACGTTCCGAAAGCTGAAACAGCATCAAAATCCATACCTTAAATATCCTTAAATGCTACCATATTTCGTTGAAAACCTTACCATCCTTTCCTTGAATTAATATGGATTTGTCTGAAAACTTGGCACCCCAAAAATCGATGCTTTGAAACCTGATCAATCCCATTAAAATTGTCGTTGGCTAAGGTGCTCCACCATTTCCAGGTGGTGAAACATATCATAATCCCATTTCTCCCCATGAACTGGTTGTGTTTAAAACCCCAAAGTAGCTTTGTTGCTTGAACCATTTTCAGAACCCATACCCTCTGGCAATCAAAGATGACAACAGAAACTCTGGGCGAATCATCGAACTATGATATGTTCGATCAAAATAGCCCGGGAAAATAAATGCTACCATGGCTATCATGGCTATAGGTCATGATTCAATGGATTGGTTTAGGGGAAAATTTACACCATATTTAATGGTAAAATCTATGGTTTCCTGTAGATTTTCCCTTAAACCAATCCATTGAATGATCCATGGCATAGATTTCCCTTTGGGATGATCCATTGCCATCCAGGGCCATAGCTCCACTGCGTCTCATGGCCTCACTCTGCTCCTCCAGAGCTTTCTGCACGTTTTCCAGCGCTTCGTCGCGGCGCTGCATCCCAACCAGTGACGACCTGCGACAGGCGAGGATGGATGGGACATGGAAAATGGCTATAGAAAATGGGTATATGATGGGATATTATGTATGTACTATGGTATATATATATATATTATATGGGGTGTGTATATATACATGTATATATACATATATATATTATGGTGTGTATATATATATATATATGGAATACATACTACTACATACCATATAATATATATATATACGGGATACATACCATATATATATAGTATACGGGATACATACCATCCATATATATATATACATATATATATGGTGGATACATACCCTTTGGCGCAATTGAAAATACCCAAAAAAAACGGAGGTTGATCGCAAAAAATCCTCGAAGTGAATCATGTCCATTGAATTGCCACGTTTGATTACCAGAGGGTCAGCAAGACTACGATGCTTAGATGTGTCTATTTCGGGGATGGGTACTACCCCAAGTTATGGCCATGAAACAAACAGGAGGCCCTGGTCCCAAGATCGAAGGCTGAGGGGTCCCCGCTGAACCGGCAAGGCAAAGGCTCCGATTTCATGGGCTTCTAAGAACCTCTGGTTGCATTTTGAGGACATTCAAATTTGGGATTACCCTCTGGTAATTTAACATAGCTATTGAAAATGGCCATAGAAATAGTGAGTTTTCCCATTAAAAATGGTGGATCTTTCCATAGTTATGTTAGTTTACCAGAGGGTATTTCAGACTATTTCCAGCCAGGGAGGATTGCCAGAGGTCCCAGAAATGGTCCAATCAATCTTGACCAGTTCGACCTCCACTGCATCATGAGCTGCTTCCTTGGGCCGAGGCAACATCGGTGATGGGATCCATGAAGAGAGCTGGGTTTTCTCAGAGCTTTCCCCATTCGAATTACCAAGTCTTAGGTGTTAAGTTAAAGATGATTTCCCACAGATCCAGCCTGAAACAGGATTTACATTTCCAACTTCTATGTAAATGATCACCTTTTCATGCGGCCCCGGCCACCATTTCGGCGACCATCCCTATCATCCTATTTCGCTGGGATTTTATGCACCTTAAATCCCCATTCATATCCTACAGAAAATACCGAACCATTCCGTGTCCAAAGAACTTCTCAACTTAGATGGTTGGTTTACAAATGAAACATAAATCCATGAATGATATGCAGATAATGTACACATCATGTGAATATGTGTATATATACCTTTGTGAAGTACATATGTTGTATGCATGTACAAATGAAGTACTCTATTTTGCATTATACTAACATATATATATATATATACATATAAACTCAGGGGGGCCATGTGTAGACGTGTTTTTATGACGTATACCCACGAGATGGTATACGTAGTGCTGCCTTAGCTGAAGGTTTAGTTCAGTAAACTGTTGGCGGCTCGAAAAACCTGCTGGTAAACCAAGATAGCTATGGAAAAGGACTAGAAGAAGCTATGGAAAAATTTAGCTGTGAACTCCTTTTACCTATGGAAAGATCCATCGTTTTAACAGGTAGGACTGTAATACGGGACTGTAAATCACCGGCTGTCCGGCTGATGCGCGTTTACATGAACCAAAGATTTCACCAGGGAGCACCTGGGTTTCACGGCTAAACAACACCAATGTTGATACCCGAAACAACCACTTGTCAGACTCAGTTAAATCATATAGTCAAGTTGATTAGTCATATCCCCAAGATCCATATCCCCATCATATTCCCCTTGTGTCAAGTTGATTAGTCATATCCCCGAAAAATATTTCCCAAAAGTGTCTCTAATACATATCACATCATATCACCACCAGGGCACTTCTCAAATAATTCTCATAGATATCACATACATAATCACCATACATATCACCATACATATCACCGTAGCACCACCAGGGCACTTCTCAAATAATTCTCATAGATATCACATACATAATCACCATACATATCACCATACATATCACCATACATATCACCATAGCACCACCAGGGCACTTCTCAAATAATTCTCATAGATATCACATACATAATCACCATACATATCACCATACATATCACCATACATATCACCATAGCACCACCAGGGCACTTCTCAAATAATTCTCATAGATATCACATACATAATCACCATACATATCACCATACATATCACCATAGCACCACCAGGGCACTTCTCAAATAATTCTCATAGATATCACATACATAATCACCATACATATCACCATACATATCACCATAGCACCACCAGGGCACTTCTCAAATAATTCTCATAGATATCACATACATAATCACCATACATATCACCATACATATATATCACCATACATTATCACCATACATATCACCATACATATCACCATAGCACCACCAGGGCACTTCTCAAATAATTCTCATAGATATCACATACATAATCACCATACATATCACCATACATATCACCATAGCACCACCAGGGCACTTCTCAAATAATTCTCATAGATATCACATACATAATCACCATACATATCACCATACATATCACCATAGCACCACCAGGGCACTTCTCAAATAATTCTCATAGATATCACATACATAATCACCATACATATCACCATACATATCACCGTAGCACCACCAGGCACTTCTCAAATAATTCTCATAGATATCACATACATAATCACCATACATATCACCATACATATCACCATAGCACCACCAGGGCACTTCTCAAATAATTCTCATAGATATCACATACACAATCACCATACATATCACCATACATATCACCATAGCACCACCAGGGCACTTCTCAAATAATTCTCATAGATATCACATACATAATCACCATACATATCACCATACATATCACCATACATATCACCATAGCACCACCAGGGCACTTCTCAAATAATTCTCATAGATATCACATACATAATCACCATACATATCACCAGGGAGCACCTGGCTTTCACGGCTAAACAACACCAATGTTGATACCCGAAACAACCACTTGTCAGACTCAGTAAATCATATAGTCAAGTTGATTGGTCATATCCCCAGGATCCATATCCCCATCACATTCCCCTTGTGTCAAGTTCATTAGTCATATCCCCGTCATATTTCCCAAAAGTGTCTCATACATATCACATCATATCACCATAACCACCAGGGTATGGGTCAAAATTAGGTACCCCAAAATTATGGATGGTTAATACTCAACTAGACATGACTAACATCTGTGGTCCCCTCCATTAGTCTTCCATTTTGACCCACATCCACCAGGGCACTTCTCAAATAATTCTCATAGATATCACATACATAATCACCATACATATCACCATAACCACTATCACATCATAATCACCATACATATCACCATAACCATCATATCACCAGGGCACTTCTCATTAGTCTTCCATTTTGACCCACATCCACCAGGGCACTTCTCAAATAATTCTCATAGATATCACATACATAATCACCATACATATCACCATAACCACTATCACATCATAATCACCATACATATCACCATAACCATCATATCACCAGGGCACTTCTCAAATTGGATGGCTTCCATCTCCTTACTCGCTTCGCGCAAGGTGGCCATGGCTGCTTCGGTCTCCTGCTTCTGCGCCGCGATCTGCGAGTCCAGCAGCGCCTGGCGTCGTGACGCGTTGGATCCACGGTGACCGGTTCGAAGATGGGGACAAAATCCATTGGAAAAGAGATGGGGATTGAATGTGATTCATAGAAATCTGATATCTGTTGAAGAAAATGATGGAGAAATAGAGAAAGAGATGATTTTTTTGTAACTTTTGATATCTGTTGAACATGATTTGATATGGAAAAATATAGCAAGATTGATACAAATGTTACTGTATGTCATTTAATAACTGTTGAACATAATTTGATATGGAAAACATGTATCAAGATTGATCGAAAGTTTATCTAAGGTGATATCTGTTGAACATGATTTGATATGGTTTCACGTGACTGAATGTAACTGTGATTTAATGTAATTGAGTATTAGTGACAGTCTGGTAATTTGAGAGATTGCCATGAAAGCCATAGCCAAAATAGAGTTCGAGCATTTAACCTTTAAAGAAACAATGAAGATGTTCATCGCAAAGTATTGGATTACCTTTATAACCATTGAGAAATTGAATTTTCAACGCCTTTGCAGATCAGATCGAGTCGGAATTTCCATGGCTGTAAACATCTCTGTGGATCTTAAGGGATCCATGTTTCCTGGAGATTCGCGGCATTTACCCTCTGGTTATGTCAACATAACTATTGAAAATGATGATTTATAGTGGATTTTCCCATTGAAAATGGTGATTTTCCATAGTTATGTTAGTTTACCAGAGGGTAAGCCATGTTTCCTGGATATTTTGTGCTAACGAATATCTATGTCTCTACACATATGTTGTCTTCGTATGGTGGATTTTGGTGGATTTGTTGGGATTAAACGTCACGATGATCCCCTAACATGGGGGTGTCTTAGGCTTATGTTTTAGGCTTCTGCATCACCAACAACAACTGAACCGACCGAAACTTGACCATCCGTTGGTGGGGCTCCTCGTGGGTGAATTCTTGGGAACTTCATATCTCTGTATGTTATAGATATGTAACCTACTGGATGGTTGAGGGGTAATGATCTATAATGATCTATATATGTCAAAGGCATTCATTCCTAAATAGCCTGGTGTATCCTACTGTCATCTCCATGCTGTACTGGTTCTTTTGTTCTTCGGATACCCGACACAATAGCGAACATACTCTGCAAAACCTCACTAAATCGACACTTGCGCTGCTTCCCTCCCATTCAAAATATTCAAATCATCTCCGCCTTTCGATCGGTCAGGCGCTTGATATCTTCATTCATGGAGTCGATCAAGAGGTCTTGCTTCGATTTCACCTCCTCCATCTGCTTGATGTGATCCTGGCGATAGAAAATCTTAATTACTCCCAACATCTCTATCACCGCCACAAATCCAAAAATGGCCATGTAGAAGTCCTATGCCAATATCTAGGTAAATGATTATTCACTAACCTTCATCTTGCGGCCATAAAAGGGGATGATTTCCCTATAAAAAGCAGGAAAATCCCGAGGTTTTCCCCATGGCGCCTCCGCTTTGTAGGTGGCTCTTCGCGTCACCTGGATCTCAGCCTTCATCTGGTCGTTGTACTCATGGACCTGAGCAGGTTTTTTCAGAACGGAAACATCGGGTCATGTTGATCATGTAAGAACCTAATGTAAAAGCTGAACATCATGGCCACTCCTAGATTCCTAGATACCCTGATTCTTTGATATGTTTGGTTAGTTTTATGATTATATATATATATGGTTGGTGGTATACCGACCCCTCTGAAAAATATATGAAAGTCAGTTGGGATGATAAATTTCCCATATATCACGAAAAAATGAAAAATGTTCCAAACCACCACACGTTTCCACACGTTTCCGGCCGCGGCCTGCTCTGGAGATGGAGCGAGGCCTTTTGATGTCAAGCTAGGCATGGTCCATGCCGTGAGACGCACCTGAAGCGTCAAAAGGCAGTGCGTAGCGCACCAGTGGTTTCACCAGTGGCAACGACTGCAGCGCTTTTGTGCCACGAATGCACGGGCCATTGCATTCCATGGCTAACCAGTGCTCAGCACCCTGCCAACTTGGCTGATGCCACTTCAAAGATGCCGCCTGCACAAAACTCTGAATTGCATCACCAGTCGCCCGACATTGGGCCATCCCAATCTGTTGATTGGTGGCCTTCCAAAACACCTTCAAGCATCTGCGGAACCATTTCAATCGAGTCAAAAAACCGTGCTGCGCTGGATCCAAATAGCGCCTAGTGAAGGCGTCCAACCAGTTCCGTCCTGATTTGATTGGTCCAGGGCACCCAAACGTCAATTGATAGTCCACGTAGAGGTGGGCAAAGGTAATCCATCGAACTTCGCCAGCCTCCGTACTGCAAGTACGGTGTTTCCACCAGCGGGCAATTCGGTGAGCAAGCCCAGTGCCATATTCGTTGGTGAAGGTCAGCGGCAAGTCACCTGTCCAGCCGTCCACCTGAAACGTCACCTCAAAGACACGCAGTGGTTTTGGAGCCGGGCAAGGGGCTTCATCCAACGTTGTAGCCGCTTCCGTCTGAACACTCCTTTTTGTAACTGCCACATGAAGAGCACAAACCTGGCTGTGCAAAACTCGCGCGGCAGCAGTCAACCTCGCATGTGTTGACCAGAAAGTCCAGAAATCTGCTGAGCGATCCAAATTGGCGTGTTTGGCAACGCCGTCAACCATGTTGTTGTGCCAAATGACCCAAGCTTCCCGGCGGGTCTTCGCCTGTGCTAGCTTGCGGTGCGCAGGCACCTTAACCAGTTCAGCCATGCCAGGTCCCAATCTCTCCAGTGATTGCAACACCCAGTTCCAAAGGTCCGCGCTCGCTGAGTTGGGTTTCAGCATCACCTTTCCCTGAGTAAGCAGGTGGTACCTATTAACAACCCCCAAGTTATCACAAAAGATTTTTACCCTGAAGCCGCCCAGTGAAGCATGGTGGAGGACAAAGGCCAAGGCGAAAAGTTCACCACGGTACGCCGTTTGGCACAAACCAGGAACGGGGCCCGCACCCAAGACACCACCATGTTGTAAATTCCAAGTGTCACTGAACGTGCCGGCAAGGACCGCACCCCACGAAGCAACACGAAGGCTAGGATCAGACTGCCACAAGCAGGAGCCATCAGTAAAAACCTCATTGACCACACCAACACGAAACCACCCCGCCAAGGAAGGAACAGCACTAGGGATGGAGTCCAACAAGCGAAGCCAAGCCAAGTGAGTGGGCGGCAAGATTGCCCAACTGCGTAAGACCATGGCATCAGGCAAAAGTCCAAGGCATGCAACAACCTCAGGCGCAAGTTTGGTTCGCAAGTCCAATGTGTTGCAACACTCATAGTACCTATGGTGCAAGGAATCAGGCATTCCGCACCATTTACAGCAACCATCGCCCTCATTCCAATGGGCATGAGCATTCTGTGTGAAAAGTCCACCAGCAAGGCTCAGACGCAAGAGACACTGTTCATCCGGCGGAAGAGCAGCCAGTGTACGGCGGGTGAGAGTCGTATCCACACACTGAAGACCAGTGAAGTCCTTCCGGTGACTGACGGAAGCAGAGACGTAGTGGTTCCAGTGCCATTGAAGACGGTGGCAAAGCTCGGTAAAGTTGACCAACGCAGGATGAAAAGTTCCCACCGCATCATGCCACCGCCCACAGGGGTGAACGGAGATCCCAAGTTTCTGCACACGACCTAACAGAACAGCCGCAGGGGAAGACGGAGGAGAGTCCAATGAACCTGCTGCCAAAGGATAGAGGTCACTGGCCCAGAAATCCAATGGGCAATTCAGTCTGGTCTCCGCAACAGTACGGATCAGGGCAACAAACTCCGGGTCAGCATAAGCTTCAACAAGGCCCAACATGAGCAAGGGGTTGACACCGGGTTTATCCATCTGGAGGGCATGATTGGCTTGGCGCCTGATGGTCAACCATGTACTGTCGCTAACGGGCGCACTCTCAACAGCAAAGAGGCCTCTTGGCCATGCAACTGTACGCAAAGCTCGGAGCTTGGACTGGTAGCTAGCCTTACTGCTGCGCAGTTTCGGCCAAAATTGGCTGAGGTCATCAAGTCTCTGGGTGACCGTCCGGTTGGTGCGCTTGCGGGAGAAGGCAACATGCGCCCCCAGGTCTTTGGTGGCATGCATGACTTTCAAGCCCTGGCCTCGGAGAGCAGTCCGCACCTGTGCACAAGTAGACCAAGCGTAGGTCTTTTCCCGATCGACAGTCAGATCTGTCAAGTTGGCAAATTCCAACAGGGCCGTCAGCTGTTGAATGGCAGCATCAGCACTCCAGGTAAGGAAGTCCCAATTGTCCACAAAGCTTAAGACCCGCAGCAAGGGATACTGAACTGCCATGTATCGGTGCATGATGTCGTCCAACAGAAGCATACCGTAACAGCTTAAGGCGCAGCCTTCGGCTAGGCCTGTGCTTGTCACAAAGCCGTCGCTGAATGAGTCTCTGACCTTGAAACGGCGGGACATCGTGGCCAGGGCTCCACACCAGGCAGTCATGACGGACATGGGAGTACCGACATGGAGGGCTGCTGCAACTATGGGAAGCCGAGGAAGGCAATTAAAACACTTCTCGATGTCGGCGGTCAGGCCGCTCAAACACGCCTTCTGGTCATAAGCTTGCTGGATGCTTGTGACCAACACACGCCAGAGCTGGGCAGTCTGGTGATGCTTTCTATTTCCATAAATATCAGCATGGCACCAGTGATGGGCATGATCCAGGAGGGCTCGGGCCTGGATGGAACTGAAAACCCTATAGACCATGGAAAAGACTGTAATAGGCCTATAGTCTTGGGTCTGGCATGCCCCCTCCCGATTGGCCAAAGAGGCCACACTGCCGGTGACAATTTGTTCAGGCCAGCAGCCATCACATCCTGCCCTCTGGTATATGTTGCACAGGCTCTGCAAAACATTGTTGTCCACCTGCAGGATGTCAGCTCTGCTAACACCATCCAGTCCGGTGGCTGCTTTGGGCTTTTTGGAGGCAGCTTCAGCTCGCAACAGTGCAGGTGTGATGGGTGTATCCTGTATCTGCCACTGCGGTAAGTGATTGCGAGCAAAGGCAATCAGCTGTTCCCATCGACTTGCTGGCACCGTGTCATGCTTGCACCATCGCTTTTTCCACTGGGTGTGGAAGGCAGCAAAAACATCATCAAGGCGACCTACCGGCTGAGACTGACAAACATCCGACCCAACAGTAACATGGGACAAGTCTGCAAGGTACAGTGCATCTTCAGAGACATGGATTGCCTCAACAGGGTGTGTATCAACCAACAAAGGAACGCTAACATCGAAGTCCACGGCCCGATCCACCAGAACTGCACCATCCTCCGGTCGGAGTTCGGTGACCTTGGTTTTCTTGGTGACCAGCAAACTAGTGACAGGCTCAGGCCTTGGACGTTTGGTGTCACGGTAGATCAAGTTTGGGTTTGCTCGGTGGGCATTGGACTGGGCTTTAGTCTTAGCAGCTGCAAGGGTGCGCTCAAAGGCCCGAACTTCCCCCAGGAAAGCCTCACACAACATCTTAGCAACAGCCGGGGACGGCGGAGTGGCTGGAACAACCCCAGGGTCCTGAAGGCCAACACAATACCGAGAAGTCCACCAAACGGCAAAGGAAGACCCAAAACCAGGTGCACGCAAAATGCTCTGCCAGAGGAAAAGTCCATGGAGTTGTTGGTCTCCCACTGCAAGTCCAAAGTGAGTGGAAGCCCACCTGTGGTAGTTGTGAAGACGCCTGAGCTGCCGCAACCACCTACAATGTTGAACATTGTAACCATGAAACGCAGGTTGGAAGTCACTGGTTCGTCCTTTCCTGGGTGGAGCAGCCCATCCTTTCCGTTTGAGGGGGGCTGTTCTTTGGCCACGACCTTGCATTTGAGGAGTCCATTGGTGTTGCAGGGTCGTCTGAGCCTGACACTCCCGGGCATTCCACAGGTCATGATACAAGGCTGAGGGGTTGCCGGTGCAAAAGTCCAAAGGAAAGTCCATAGGCGGAACAGAAGTCCAAGGAACAGGAAGGGGCATGGGCCACAGATACCGTTGTGCAAAGGCACCATCCACAGCAAACTCAGCACGCAAGACAGAATGGTCAGCAAACCTTTCATGGTCGACCTTGACAGTGCGGAAACTGGTTATGAGCTCCGGGGACAACCACAGCATGTCTTTGCGGGTGCAACCCTTACAGGTGTGTTGAGGCAACCTACCATGGAGGAGGTGCTCAAGGTTTTGTGCTTCTTTCCATCCCAAATCCAAAAGGCGGTGGAGGTTAGGAAGCTGATCCATTTCATGGTTGAGGTCCCCGCAAAGATATCTAGGCCCAGTAGCCACTTGTGTCATGTGGTCAATGAGGAAGTCCAAAATCTCTATTGACCTGCTTTGAGCGTTGTGGTGGGTCTTGCCTTGAGGGTATCCGTACATCACAGCCCCCGAAACCCAAACATTGTTGATGAGCGATCCAGTGATTTGGACCCGTCCCGTTTCAAAAAGGTCCTGAGGCCAAGCAGCGCAAAGTGCGCGGGTGGGCACTCTTGCAATTGTAGCAACCCCAGTATACTGGCCAGCATCAGATGTGTTGATGCGGGCTTGGGACAAGGCGCCCGTGATCACTTGGTTGTATGGGCTATGTGACTTCAAGCTGGAAAGTAGCATGGAACGTGCCGTGGCTGTGAGGTGTGTCTCACTTGCATTGATGACATCACAGTCAATGCCGGATAACAAAACGCTTTTTCCCGGTAACCCAGAAGGATTACAAACCCCAAGGGTCCATGTGCGGTCAATGGCTGTTGGGCCTGGTGTTTTGGCCTCACCAATGCGACATTCAGAACCCCAAAACATACTAAAGAGCATGAAAAACCATAGCAAAAACCTTGGTGCCCGGAAACAATGGTTCGCCGCAGGCTTGGGCTGGTCACTGCGGCTACCAACTTTTCATTCGAACCTGCCTTTCTTCGACAAGATGGTCTCCAGCTTCGACATCTGGTCATCGAACATGTTGGCCATTTGAGAACGTTGAACTTCCATTTGTGAGAGCATCTGGGCCTGGAGGGTCTGGACCTGTGCCGAATTCTGGCGATGGTGCTCATGCACGGTGCTCTCAAGGGTCTGGTGTTGATGCGCCAACTGCTGAAGTTGACGCTCCATAAGCTGAAGCCTGTCCTCAGTGTGGTCAGTCTCCATGCGCTCCAGAGGCAACTTTTCCAGGATACTACGTTCCAGGCGATCCTCCAACTCCTGTATGTGTGAGTTCATTGGTGCAGGCTGCTGAATGGGTACCTGATTCAAGGCTTGCTGCCATGGGTCTTGCACAGTCCATGGGTCAACAGCCGTATTGGAGGCACAAAGCTCGATGGTGCTCTGGGGCCCAATGACCGTGCCGTTGTCAGCCATCCCCGCACGGACGGAGTCACACTTGGAAATCATGACCTGGCCATGTTGCATGTTGTACACCGTCTGCGGGGGATCTGTGACGCTTTGAACAAGCCACATCACACCATTGGCAATTGGCTTCGCCGGCTGCAAAGGTCGTGCTTGCCATTTCCACTCAGCAAAAACCCTACCAATTGATTTGCGATCACTGCCAAACGGGAAAGGTCCACAATGCCATGTTTGCCTGGTGCCTGGAGACAAAAACTGGCCTTCAGGTTTCAGCTTTTGGAACAGTGTTTGGAAGTCTTTGGCAGCAACCCGTAGTCCAAATCTTCGGCCAGAGCGTGCCAATCCCAGACCCATCGGCTCACATTGCAGCTGGTGCTGTGCAGAGGCAAAGCTGGCCTGTGGGAGCCAAACCACCTGAAACTCATCAGAAGGAGACGATGCGTCTTGGATCCGAGGCTCAATGAAAACACCATTCTGACCTGACAGCCTCAGCAGGGCAAGCTCTTGAGATTTGAGATAACGGATCTGTACACTGAAGTGATTGGCCTGAGCATGCTTTGTCGGTCTTCCTGCTTCTGTGAAAAACTGTCTGCGAAAAACGTCAAGAATGACATCCTGGTTGCCATCCATGCCATCTGGGTGCCATCGACCGCACTGACAATCTTCGGACCTGCATGTTTGCAACGGCAAGAGTACCTGAAGGACCTGTTTGAACGGATGATCAGCCAAACTACTCCAGTCTTGGGGCCACTGATCTGCAAAGACGGTGACACGAGCACAAGTGACAGGGACATCATGCACGCCCGGACTTTCCTTGGTAAAGACAGGGACAATTGGCTGAGCACCCAGTTGGACCAAATGCCCATGCAACAAAACTGGTTGTTGGTTGACAGAACAACAAGCAGCAAAACGGATTGAGGTCCAGGAAAGCTTGGTCGGCAGTTCATCCGGTCCATTGATCACAAGCAAGGCCAAACTCTTAGCAGTAAGCAACTGACCAGACTGCAAGAATGGTAATGCTTCCTGAATCGTCACCAGGGCAACTCCAACTGCTAGTGGTCCAACCTGAGACGCTGGAAGCTGAGGTGCTGGCTGTCCTGAGTCCATGTGGAAAGTATCCTGTGCCAAGCTCAACTTTGTTGGGTCAATGTCCATCGGTTTGGACGGTGCAATCTTGTTGCTTGGCATCTTGGCTGATTTTTGCTTCTTGGTCTTACGATCTTGGGCCACTACGTTCAGTTCATCAGGAAGCACCAACTGGAACGGTGGTGTTTGCTGATTGGCTAGGCTCTTAAGCGTTTTCCAGGGTGATGCCCCTTGGACTGCTTGCTTGACTGATTCCATGCCTAGACTCTGCACAAGAAGTTTTGCCCTGTTGGCGGCAGCATTGTTTGGGACTCCATGTTGTTGAAGCAAACTTCCGACCAAGGACACAACATCAGGAACACCAGCTCCCCAGCACCACGGTCGTGGCATTTGCAGGAAACCCTCATGCGACATACGGAAATCCTCTTTCAGTCCATCATTGATCCGCTGCAGTTGGACTTGGCTGGCGGGCAAAGTCAAACCATTGAGGCGATGTTGCAGGAAAGCAATGGCTGCAGCTCCACAGAGTTGACTGCCAAAACTACGGCGGGTGCAGGAAATGCAAAACTGAGAAAGTCCAAAAGCTTGGCTGAGCAAACCATGCAAGGGGTTAAGTCCATTGACGTCCGTGTCATCATGTTCCCACATGATCACCTCAACTGTTGTCTGCTTGAAAACCCAAAGACAAGGAGTCCAATGGCCACCATGGAGCACGGCTGAAACAAGACGGGTGAATTTGGGTTGACGAGACGCCCAGACATGAATTGCATCAGCAGTACCCGTGGACAACCATGTGTGTGCAAGTAATGGATCCAGGAACGCAGTGTCGCGGGGCTCAGTGGCAGCAAGCACCTGCAATTGCCACCACATCTCATCATCCGCCCACACATGATCCTGTTTGGCCAACAACTGCATGCGCATGTCGACAGACACAGACGGACGACGCATACTGGCACACAAATCCAAGTCCAAAACCATGGGAGGAAGCATGTCAAGCAGCTGAGGCGGGGTCAGGTTCAGAAGTCCATGGACGGAGGCATCAGACGTACCAGGCATGACTTCAACTGGCTCAACCTTTGGCAGGGACATGGCACGACTGGCATGGTCATGTGGTGATACATGGTCGCCGGCATCAGAGAGCACATCCAGTTGGGTCCCCAAGTCCAAGTCCATAGGGGCGTTGCATGGTTCTGGCTGTGGCTCAGGATCATCAATGGGAAAAAGATCTTCATACCGACCCATGGAAAGAGTGGTAAATCGTGAAAGATGAACCTCATGTGTGACCAGGTTGTCATGTTGGTCTTTGATCCAGATTTCATCAAATGGGACCCGGTTCAGCCTGCCATGTGCAACAATGAGATCCTTCACCACAGCTGTCGGAGGAAAGGCCAAAGTCCAATTTTGTTGTCCTGGCTGCTGCACAACAAGCTGGCATCTGTCAGGGGTCGATGGTTGGCTGGGCAGATTGGGAAAAAGGTCTCGACACTGCCGCATGACATCATTTTTCAAGGCCTGCAAAAGGGTCATGGGGTCCGTTGGGGTGATTGTGGTGAACAAAGTCTGAACATGACGGGCTAAGGCAGCTGCCAACCAAATCGATTGCATTGGGGATGCCATTTGGCCAACCGCACACAAATTCAAACGATGGTTGTCTCCCCATCTCAAATCCAAAGGTACCCCATTGAGCATAGAAACTTCAAGGACATGCAAGTGCCTCCAAGCTCCTGCCTGCGAGTCAGTGGCTGGCAGTTGTAGCAACTGTGCATAGACACCTTTGGATGAAAGCAGCTCGTCACTAAAACCCGTGGTCCTGCAATCACAAGCACAAGGCACTGTTTGGTTCCCCCAGGAATGAAGTGCAGTTGGCAGCTTTGCATCAGGTTTCACCTGATGTTGGCGCAAAGTCTGACCTGCCAGTTGGAACTTCACCAATTCAGATTCCTGCAAAATCAGCTGCTCTTCTGTTTCGGGTGGCCACCTATGCACATAAGGCATGAGATCACGGACGACCAAAGTTGACCCTTTGGGGTATTCAGGGATGTTGACAGGTCCAACACATGGGTGTGTGGCCACAACCCACCATCTGTAGCGACAAGCTGCCCACACTTCCTCAAGCTTCAATGCACAGTCCACAATGGTGTACCCTAATTGGTCACACAGTGCCTGCAGATGGCCACGCACAAACAAGTTGTCTCTGGCAGGAACAACGCATTCCATGACAAGTGCCGGGGACTGCAACAAGTACAACATGCGCAAAGTACCTGGCAATGAGGCTGATCTGTTATCCAGGCCTCCTTGTTGTGCGCCTCCTCTGGAGTATGGTTGACATGCAATGCCGGACATGAGGGTGCAAGGGTCAGGGCAATGTTCAAAGATCAAACCAGCAGTGGAGTCCAGGGCAACATCAGAGCAGACAACTGGAACGCCAGGGTGCAACTGGAGGTGCAATTCGGCCAGCTTAGGTTGCTTCTCAACAGAACACTTGTGTGTGAAGCCAGCCCTAACAAAACCGACAGACGAAAGTCCAACGCCAGAGCACAATTCCACCAAGTTGAAGACATGGTCAACACACAGAGGTTTGTGGGCAAGGACAGTGCAACTGGCATCAAGCACCAAGTCAACCACAGCACCACAAGACAGAAAGGACGCTCCCAAAACTGAAATCTTTGATGCACCTGCGGCTTCGGGGGGGATAAGTCCACAAACACGTACCACCTGCCCCCCAGGGATGGCCTTTCCAACACCAGCGTTATCACACCAAATCATGTTGTCTAAGACAACCGAAACAGTGGCTCCATTGCTAAGGCATGTCCATGTTGGGACAAACAAATTCGAAAAACATTGTTGGTCAGAAGAACCTAACATTGGATTCGACCTCCCAAACTTTTGCGGGCGACACCTCCCACTGTCAGGGATTTGGGCCAAGGCTGTTCCAAACCACCAACCAGATATATATATATATATTTATTTATAGAGATACTATACTGCCAACAGCTCTGAATAGAACCTGGACTTTAGGAACCAATTCTGTGGATCAACAGTCCTCGACTTTGGCTGGGACATTTTAGAGACATTCTTCAGGAAAAAACGTACTTTCATTGTTTAATATGAAAACAAGGAGGTGTATCAAACAAATATTTGATTCCCATAGGATCCATGTATGCTATATATATATATGGTAACATGGATCCCATCAATATACCCCCAAATATTAGCATATATACCAGCACCATGGATCCTATGGGTATCAAATATATGGGTCTTTTCTTGGGCCTTACATTCTTGGAAGTTTGACAGCTGGTTGCTGCCGTCATGATCGTCATGAAAACAGCTATGTCCATCCCACGCGGCTTCAGTTTAGACCACAAGGTGCCCCAGTGCTGTGCTCGTTCGCCAAGTTGGTTTAGGATGGTTAGAACTATAGATATGATCATCCTATGATTATAATAATATGATATAATCTGGATATGAATGATAAAAAAAATCCAACTATAGATATGATCATGGATTTTTTAGGATGGTATTAATATGTATTAATGCTATAATGCTCATTCATGGTAATATTCATGGATTTTTTGGTCAAAAAACATTGAGCTGAGCCGTGTTCGGAGACCGTCGATTTGGTCATGATAAACATGTACCGCTCGAAAAAAAGCATGGTGATTTAAACCAGTTCGCAAATCGTGAAAAATAACCACAGGGTATATATATATTATATAATATCATGATATCTCATTGATATATGTAATTACATATGTTTCTACTCTCCTATTTGAAAAGAGGTAGGAAAAAAAAATGGACCCAGACCCAAAAAAAGTGCATTGTAACCCAAAAGAATTCCTGAACGAGGCTGAACAAGTGTCTCAATGAGATGGCCAGAGAAACCCAGTCACTGTGGTTTCTTGGGTTTTTTTAACAGACAATAAAACAGACTCATCCCAGTTTTTTTTTTGTCTCTTAAACCCCAGTTTTTTCGAAAAAAACCTACATGGTCTAGCTTCCTTCTGCGGCCCCACGCCTGCCGCACCGTGATGTTCAGCTGATTCAGCTCATCCTGCCAGCTCGAAAAGTGTAAATGTTATTCAATTTTGACCCACAGATTGCTGATGGACTTTAGTAACTTGAGTATGAAAAAGAACTTCAGTACTGGAACTTTACGAACTTTAGTAAGTTCAATTCTGGGAATTCATCATTTTTGACAAAGCAGCCATTTTCAATTCGACCGGTCGAAACTTACGACCGTCCTAGACCACTTTGGTAGTTTTCATCACTGCTATTTTTGCTCATTAGGTTGAGGCTCTAGCCACTCAAGTGCTGCTTTTTGTGTGATTTTTGAAGCCATTTTTCTCGATGAACTCGGACCTTGTAATCTTCAGTCATCGTAGATGTCCCATGCCTGTTGGAATCCATCCTTACTCCAGGTACCGATGGGTGGACCTCGAATTCATGGATTGGAGCAACCACCAGAATTCCATGGGCGTTTTTTGAATTCTATGGAAATACTATAAAATACTATGAAATACTATACAAATACGATGAAATACGATGAAATACTATAAAATACTATGAAATACTATACAAATACGATGAAATACTATGAAATACTATAAAATACTATGAAATACTATAAAATACTATGAAATACTATACAAATACGATGAAATACTATGAAATACTATACAAATACGATGAAATACTATGAAATACTATGAAATACTATACAAATACGATGAAATACTATGAAATACTATAAAATACTATGAAATACTATACAAATACGATGAAATACTATGAAATAATACTATGAAATACTATAAAATACTATGAAATACTATACAAATACGATGAAATACGATGAAATACTATAAAATACTATGAAATACTATACAAATACGATGAAATACTATACAAATACGATGAAATACGATGAAATACGATGAAATACTATGAAATACTATGAAATACTATACAAATACGATGAAATACTATACAAATACTATGAAAATACTATGAAATACTATGACATGCAATATAGTTTTTCTATGAAATACTATCCCGTATGATTTTCCCATGAACCCCATAAAATGCTCCGCCAAATCCCGTCACCAAAAACGATCCGCCTGCGACTTGGCAAGTCTCCGAGTCGATTCCTCCACCTCGCCTTGGATGGTGCAACAAAAAGTCGTGGCTGTTTGGCTGTTTATAGTGGTTATAGAGTGATTAATAGTGGTTTTATAGTGATGAATAGTGAATAATATATTGTTTATGGTGGTTTATAGTGCTTTATAGTGGTTTCATAGTGATTGTAGTGGTTGCTACATGATGATCCTATGATGATATGATGATTATATGTTTATATTATACAAAACCGTGGTTTCATAGTGATTAATAGTGCTTATATAAAGTGATTTGTTATGCCAATTCAAGTGGTATAGTTGCCAATGGTTAATAGTGGTTTAATGGTGGTCTTTATAGTGGCATATTCAGGTGTGTTCTAAAATGGGGGATCCCCAAGTCACCATGGGTTTCACTACTAAGTCATGGTCATTCATGACTTGGATGATGACTGGGGTACCACCATACGGTGGTTTACAATGGTTAATGCTGGGAAAATCATGGGAATTATTGGGATTTCATGGAATAAATTGGTGAAAACCCCAAGAACCGTGGAACCGTGGCTTACAACCGCAGTTCATTCAGTATATGTAACGTTCGTCCGGTAGGCGTGAACCAACCATTGACCACGTACCCATCACTGGTGACATCCCGTCTCAGAGTTAAACTCCCTCATAAATGTACATGTATATTCTACACACTTACAGAATATATACATACACTTGTTACACACATGTGTACACACATGATGTATAGACACATGTATACACACATGTACGTGTGTATATGTATATATATAATACACATCTCTATATATATATGATATATATAATATACATATACATATATATATATATACACATCTAATCACATCTAATCACATCTAATCACATCTAATCACATCTAATCACATCTAATCACATCTAATCACATCTCATCACATCTAATCACATCTAATCACATCTATGATCATCTATGATCATATATGTATAATCCCTGAAAACAGCTAAACTTACCATTCACCATGCATCAACTCGCCCAGCGGCCCTTCTTCCCTTCCCATTCCACGGTGATCTTTTTCAACGCCTCGTCGTCCTGGAGATGATTTTTGGCGAAGGATGGTGGATTTTTCTAGGGAAAATGGTGAGTTTTTGGGTTTCGCCTAGAAACAATGATGGTTTAACCAGGAAACATGGAAAATCATATGGATTTATAGTCGATGTATGATAGTTAAGGTGGTTCAGAAGTAAGTCTTCGGTTTATCTGGGATATCGAAGTAGTTGAATGCTGTTGTAAACTAATAAACATAAGTGCGGGGCGGCCTTCCTGCAGAAATCTCATCAAACCTTTGAGCAAAGAAGTGGGCTATGACCCCAGTTACTTCATCAGGCTTCAGTCCAGTTATAACTGGAGTAATTATAAGCCACAACTAGGATTCACATCAGATTGTTGGTAATGTTGGCTGCACAATAGTAGATCCCCCCTAAAGAAAATAATAAAATAGTTTTGTTTTTTAAGGGTGGGTCAGCATTCCAATAGTATATTCCTGGAACCCTAAGTTTTTTGGCAATACTAAAAGTAAATGGAGCTAATTGACTTTTAGCATTGGAGATAAAACTGGAGGGAGATATTCCTGGACAAGGTCAGAACATGAGTTTTTTGGCAATACCAAAAGTAAATGGAGCTAATTGACTTTTAGTATTGGAGAAAAAATTGGAGTTGGGAAAAAAGTTTCCACTATTGCCATGTTGGGTCCACTATTGGCCATGCCCTCTGGACAAGGTCTGAACATGACTCTTTTGGCAATACTAAAAGTAAATGGAGCTAATTGACTTTTAGTATTGGATTTTTTAAACTGGAGTTGCGGAAAAAAGTTTCTATTGACAAGATATCACTATTGGTCAGACAACATTAATAGTAATACTCCATGATATTCCCATTATATCCCCAGAGCCATGTGAGTCCGTGCCAATGGCCATATGAATGCGCCATTTTTGAATGGCCATAACTGGAGGATACAGAAACATACAGAAAGTGCATTTATATATATATACCCTTAGCTACCAAACCCTTTAAAAATAAAGGGTTACAAGACAAACCCCGGGTTTTCCATCAAACCCTTTAAAAATAAAGGGTCAACTGTAAAAACCTCGGGTTTTGGTATATATCCTTATTTTCGTTCATTCCTACGCCTTTCCTACAGCCCAGGCGCAGCTGGTACCTGAATCAAGCAGCAGCGGGGAGCTGCAATGGTCCAGGAAAATCTACTTCAATTTAAGATTGTGTACTAAACATGCCACATAGAACTTATATAGATTATAGACATTCATGTATGTACGGAGATATAACTAACAGGGTATATAGGTAAAACATGGTAAAACGACCTATTTCTGTAGTATATATATACTGATGCCTAGCAAGAACAAAGAAAATGTCCATGGATTTTGAGCTCGGTAATCACCTTTGACCACCACCCAGAGAGCCATGCACTGCCAGCTCTTTTTGCATGGCAAAGAGATCGTCGTCGCAAACTGGCCAGCCGGGCCTCTCAGTCCTGGACAGTGTTGGAAATTCAAATGGTTACCCTCCAAATGCAATGAGCATAGCAAGCCCAAAATGAGATCTGGAATCACTGGAATCTGGAAATTCAATTGTTATACATGACTTGGACTTCAATCTCATGACTCTTTCACATCACCGCTAGCCGTTTTGGCTTCAAAGTGTTGGTGTGGCTTTGGTATCCCAGGAGATCCCAAAGCAACATGGTGCTGAACAATGCCAAAAAGAAACCGAGCGGACGCCCCAAGTCAGAGAAACAAGAACTACTTGATTTGAAGAATTTGAGCATGGAATGGGATGCGAATGAGGAGATCCGCAACCGTCTCAGGGAGGGATCTGGCTTGCTGGTAGATGGAAAAGGTGAGGACATTCCGTCCATCTTAGCCAACTTAGGAGTCTTACAGCCATTCATCACCAGAATGAGCTTGACAACTACCAGGCCACTTCCGCTAGTAGAGACACTACGTGATGAAGTTGAGGCCATCTACCTACGAAACAAAAGGGGGTCCAATCCTGAAGATGTACCAGATGTCATCGGAATTGGCTGGAAGATTAGAAAAATGCTGACTTACGTAAAGATGAAGGTTAGGAGACGAGAAGTATCTTCTGTGCCTCATTTGCATTATAGAATGTATTCGATACACTCACAAAGAGAATCAGCAGATAACAAATAATAAAAGAAAACATATATATTTATATTTGCAAACCTAAAGTCAGCTAAAACCATTATTGGGGAAACATCCGGATCCAAGGTGCCTGCTTTTCAACAAGTCTGCCTGGAAATGGACCCCAAGCTTCAGGCTCCATGCGGGTTGTGCACACTCAAGCACTCTCAAGCACAACGGTTTACTTTGTGAGCTGTAGCTGGTATGGAACGTAAAGCCCTCGACCCATAAAGTTGGTAAACACTTTTAAGAAAAAATCCAAGTTTTATTTTTGAAGACCACGTAATAGATATTACACGCTACATTTTTCAAACCACCATTTTTTTGCTACCGCAGGAAGTGGTAGATGAAGTCAACAAGAAGATCGCGCAGCGCAAGGCTGCCCGGGAGGCTGCCCGCAAGCTTGGTCAGGACTACTGGGCACTGCCAGATTTAATACATGTCAGTCACACTCGGTATGATCAATTCATTCAAATTGTCCTTATATATATATATATGTGCATCCATATTAAAGATCGAGCTAGTGGGGTGTCACGTTTTTTTTCCGATCCTTTCTGCAAAACTTTCCCAACACCAAAAAATGCAGGAAGATGATTCAGATAGCAATTCTGAAGATGTAGACGGTCAAGGCGATGGAGGGGATGACAACGAAAGCTCGGAAGAGTCTGATGGAGAAAGCAATGATGAGGTTCAGGAGACAGAGGCAAAAACTGAACCAGGAAAACATGAGGCGGTTGGGGAAAGAGGGACGATGGGGGACACTGGCACTCCCAGCAACAACGTGCAGAAGAAGGTGGAAGCCCAGGTGCTGGAGGCCAAGGTTGTTGTAGCGGCAGAAAGTCAGAAGCCAGATGATACCCCAAACACAACCGTGACCGCAAAGACACATGAAAAGTTAGATACCAAACCGGTTCCTGGTGTGTCCGTGTGCAGTCCCAAGCCAGAGCATGACATAGCAAAAACACAGCAGGGTACCACACCTTCAGCACCAGAAGAGAAAGGCAAAGCCGATGGGCAAGGAAAGGGTTGTAGCTTTGTTAGCAACAAGAATGAGAATTATGTTATCATATACATTCTTTACCAGTTTTTCATGTGTGTTGCCAAATTCATTTTGCCGACCCAAAGGTAAAGTGGAGGAAATGAAAAAGAGAAAAGAAGAACTTCTGCAAAAGCTTGCAGAGTTTCTGGGTTGCGATGTAAAGTTGTTGGCTTATTGTTCTCTGAGAGTTATTGTATATATAGTTCAATTCCACATACCACACTTTATTGTTAATTTCGTTCCTACTAACGGTTTCGTATCAAGAATTAAGGCAATTTGTTCATTACACACATTATTTCATAAAATGTATATGTACCATGATCCAGCCAGCCAAGGCTGCGTGCTGCGAAGGCGAACGCTACTTCTGGCGCTTCTCATGAAGATGTGGCCAAATCGGTTGATGCAGGCAGCCATTAAATCAAACATGGATGCATGCAAGTTGATGAATTGAAAAGTGAAGTCATATGATCAGTACAATCTTTTCCTCTCTCGTGTTGATTTGCAGGAAAGCTTGGGACCGCATCAACACCAGGGAAGCCAGTGAACATGGATCAGAATGAAACACAGCCCGTAGATGTGATGACTCTTGACCCCGCAGGGCTGCCCAAGACGCCACAGGCGTCACCACAACACTCAGCAGAAGCTAAGCGAGAAGCATATCAGCACAGCAGAGCACCCAAGGATAACCCTGAAAAACAAAAGCCAGAAACCGATGATAAAACCAAACCGAAGGATAAGGCAACAGCTGCAAAAGCCACTGCTGAGTTCACTCAAAGTGAGGGTGAGGCTGGAGTCTACATGTGCATGCGTGCATGAGTGTGGTATCGGGTTGGTGATCTATAAACTGCAAACTGTCTTTTTCATCACCGTTGTGCATTTTGAGTTGCAAATTGTTATGTTACATTTCTTTAATGCATCGAACTAGCGTATGTTTTCCCCATTGCCCATTTCAATTGTTTTTCCCAGGAGCCTGCAAAAGCTAGGGTAACAAGGAAAGACCAACTTGTCATGAAGAACGCCAAGAAGAAGGATGGAAACTTGAAAGATGGATCGGAAGGTGAGAATGGACAGGGCAAAGGAAAGGGCAGAGGAAAGGGCAAAGGACGGGGCCGAGGGAAAGGAGCAGGTCGTGGGGGTCGAGGCAAAAAAATTGAAACGGAGTCCAGCGACATGGAAACAGCACCACACCCAGGATCGTCAACTGACAAGCCAAAGGGTAAAAGTAACAGGGGCTTCAAGAAAAAAGAGGATCAGCAGGACTGGGCAGCTTGGGGCACTGAAGATGCTTGGAGCCAGGGCTGGACTGATGATTGGGATGCCAAGGGTTGGGCGTGGGATAGTGTGTCGTGGTGGGACTCCCAGTGCAGTGCTTACGAGCTAGAGGGTAACAACCCTGACCATCCCGAAAAACATAGCAAGAAAAAAGAAAGCAAGCGCAAAGCAGAGATGATGGCAGAAGAACACCCAGAGGATGCTGATACCAGTGACAAGAAAGCAAAAGTTCAGAAGAAGACTAAGACGGAGAAGGAAGCTGAGGAACACCATGACAAGGATGAAGACATGACAGAAAAACCGGCAGCCGAGAAGAAGAAAAACACCAGTGCTAAGGCCAATGCCAAGCGCAAACCAGCAAAGAAGAAAACAAAAAAAGAAACGCATGACACAGATGACAGCCGAAAGAAGAAAACGAAACAGACATCCCGCCCCGCAGCCAACCAGGTCACATGTGCCAAAAGAATCCAGGACCTACCTGCCGAAGACCACAAAAAAGTTCAAAAGATGTTAGATTTCATGGCTGGCGTCGCAGACCTGACTGAGGAACAGGCCAAGCTACTTGTGCGAGGGAGGATGAAGGATTACCCCCCCTGTCGCTACAATGTGTACTGGCCCCGTGGGGCTGTGGGGCTGCACATGCGCGCTGAGAACAAAGATTTTGCCTACTTTAGGCCCACTTGCCGCACGAACGTTGAATGCCCCCACAAGTATGTAATGGCAGCAGCACTCAAAGGAGCAGAGATCCTAGCATCTCGTCTTAGTTTCTCGTTGTTCCTAATCTTAGTGTATGACACCTGGTACTCCATGCATGGTATGTACATCATTCTATATATTTATTCAGAAACCAGTCAGAACTTAACACATTTGTTTTCAAGCCTTTAGAAAACACAGTCATGGTGGCTTGTCAGCTCTTGTATTAAGGCACGCTATGTCGACAAAGTCAAGAAGGAGACTGACGAAACCGACCCTGATGCCAAGTTGACAGAGAACCAGGCGGTGGTCGACTTGAAGGATCGACTGAAGGAACTCACCACCGACGCAGTAAACATTTTCGTGTTCAACAATCTCCAGTTTGGACTGAGATAGTGTAAGACTTGAAGTGAGATGGTGTGAAAATAAAACTGATGGATTTTGGCGCTGCGTAAGCCAAAGTGCTACGTGCTGTGTGTTGGGATTGCAAGGTGGAACCATCTTGCCTAAATGGGAAAACACAAAGTTCCAGTAGCGCGTAGAGCTTGGCAAGTAGCGTTTCCGTGCAGTGACACTTTCTGAAATTTAGGATTTCATATGCTTTTGAACAGTTCTAAGATTGTTTGCTTCGATATGGGATTTTCAACGGTGTGAACTGTTGAGTTGCCTGTGATATCACTGCTATAGATATACCCACTTGAGGCTGGTTTCCCCGTCAAATTGCCTATCATATCATATTTCTTTGCCAGTTTATATGTCAGCAGGTACATCTACTATAATCAAAATTAACTGCCCATGTAAAATGTGACGGGTAGCCAGCCTTATCTCTCAGCAGAGCGGGATATCCGAACAAGTGCCGTAGATGAAACGGATCAGTCCATTCAACGCAGATTGAAAAAGGGATTGCGCCAATTTGGACTGCTATCTTTCTTTGACAAACAAGTATAAGAAAGGGTATGAGTTCAATATTTGAATTCATCAGGTCATGTCAAATCTTGCTGTATCAATCCGAGAATCATAAAACACATAACCCACTCAATCTTCCCATCTTGATTTGACCCGTGCTGGTCCCTTGTTCCTCCCTCCCAAGCGGACCGGTCCTGAGGTTGAGCCAGTGGCGACAATTGAAAAGGCGCAAAAACCTGTGGCAGCTCAGGGTGAACGGATTGAAAGAGAAACGTACGCCCAGACATGGTTTTTAAGTTTTTCGAAATTGATTTTTGTCGTGGATGTATGGAATTCATTGGGGGTCCTGCAAGAGCTGCTGGAAAAACATTGTAAGAGCATTGACCTTCTTCTGCAACCATTTTCCTCGTACATGCACGGAGGATCACTGAGGGGATTTCAGATGTTTTGCAAATAACACTATGATCTGATCTCGACATGGCATTGATCAGTTTTAATTGATTTTGGGCATGGAACCACATGCTTCCAATCCTTGAAATACAGTGACCTGTTTGACTGTAGCCATGCCGCCCCTCGACCATTTGCTGTGGCGGTTGTACAAGCTTCGGGTGCCGAAGGAGCCTTGAAAATTTGATATTTAGGATCAAACTGATATACACTCATGGAAGGCAGTTGCCAATCCAATATATGAGCGGAATCACGAGTTAAAATTGTATATAACCTTAATTTGTGACACTTGTATGCAACGATAATATCTCTATATATGCAGAATGATATACTGCATGGCATGTCGACAATCATTTTATAGAATCCGCTGGCACCCCAAGCCCGCAGGAATATGTCATGATCATCCTCTTGCTGACTTGGACCTACAGCTGTCAGGAGGAAAATTCGGCATGCAAGACTGCATGCATATTATATAAATGTGTTCATGGATGGTTTGTCCAATGTTTCGGGATGTTCTGGTCATGTACAGTAAGCAGCAAAAACCTTAATTGTTGATATATTCAGGTGATATTTCCAAGTCTTCACTCACACTTGTGATTAGCACCCCTTTCTCCGGCCTATGCCAGGAGCATGAGTGGCTGGAATACTTTGCAGGCACTGGACACCTGACGGAAGCAATGATCTCTGCACAGTATACTTCACTTCGCTTTGACTTGATGGATAACTACCAGCCAAAGAATCGAAAGTCGAATTTCATGAACTTGGCACACCCATCGGGGTTTGCGTTTCTTGGTATAGACAACAAATGTTCTGTTTTAATTAATGAATATCCGATCCAGGTCCCACTCTATATAGATTGAAGGTGTGTGATGTTTCCCCCTGAGCCAGCAAGTATACCATGATGTGTTGATCCTTAAACACTGAGGTTGGCTACGCTATCCATGCTCAGGGCGGTAGTGGACAACTTTGGGGCTCATCTGGGTTTGAAATGCTCATCATTTTCAAAGATGAATGTGGGTACCAGTGCCAGAGCCCCATGCGCGTCAATTGGCAACGAAAATTTCCCTTCAGTATGTCTGGGAAATATGCTTTTGGAAAGGAGCGACTTCATATATATTTTTGTTTTCAATGTACACATTCGAATTACAATGCTACTATGAAACGTGATGTTAAATTCATTTCACTTTGGTTGAAAGCCTTTGCGATGCCAGGAGCATTCTCCTCATCTACTTGTGCACCGCTCTAGGAGGGGTGTGGAGTCTGGAGCAACCTTCGGGAGCACTCACTGAATTTTACCCAGCTTTCAGGGAGATGCTGACAAACATGTTCGAAAATGGAGGGCCAATGACAGTCGGGTCCCAAATGTTTTGGTGAGAACACAAGATGTTTTTTGTTTCGGAATCAAACATATGATTTTGAAATGCAACCATCACCAGTCAATTTTTGTAAGTATATATCTGGTTTCCCATCATTGCACTTAGGTCCAATGCGTCAAATGGTGGATGGGCCACTACAATTCAGCAACTCCCAAGCGGCATTATGCCTACAGCAATAGCAAAGTCATCAAAAAAATCGACAAGGGTAAACTTCAGGGTTGGAGAGGCAAAACAAAGGTTGCCACAGCAGAGCACTATGTGGATGGTACTGGCCGTAAGAGGTATAAAGGGACCTCCAATCTTCGCGGAACTGAGACTCTTGTCTTCAAATTGCAGGTTCTACCGTATCAATGAATATATTTGACTGATTGGTATGAAATTGGTTCATATTTGGCATTCTAATCCACAAGCTGTTGGGGGAACCACTATTTTTCCATCAAAGAATCATGGTATTTTTTGGGGATATAAGGGAATGAATTGCTACCATGGGGAATCCATTCTAGAAATCTGTGAAATTCCGGAAATGAACATGGTTATGAATCTATAATTTCTTAAATTGGACAGATACACTTTTACCTTCAGAAGCCCACCAAACTTTAAGTTTATTCGAGAATTCGAATGCACATGCCATAGCCCCAGCCCAGGGTCTACCCGCGGCCTTTTGCAAGATTGTTCTGCGACTTGCTGGAGGATATGAAGAAGCACTGCCTTGGAAAGCCGGAGCTACCAGCAGAGACCCCATCGGCATTGGAAACATTTGGGAAGCTGGAACCAGCGGACCCCAGCGTGTGGCGTCACATGGACCTCCCCAGTGTATACAACTATTTAATTCGAAACAAGAAGTTGAAGATCCCTGTGGAGTGGAAAAATGTCATGCCGAAAAGGCTGACCTAATTCTAGCATTTCCTGAAGGGGTCATGACTGGTCACAAAACAGTTTTTTTGACAATGTTTGGCTTCTCAATGATTTTTGTGGGAAACAAAAAAGGGTTTAGATCAAACCCGTACTGAACCCGTACTCAACCCATTATTTACCCGTACTAACCCATTATTTTGTGGTGGAAACCCCGGGTTTTGGTCAAAACCCCGGGTTTTCCAAACCCGTACTGAACCCGTACTGAACCCATATTTTACCCGTACTAACCCATTATTTTTTAATGGGTTTGGATACCCCCCTGGAAATGAATTTTGCAGAGATTTTTCACACAATTTGAATGGCAATTTCGTGGCTGGATTGCCCGCTGCGAAACATATCTTTCAGTTGCAATACATTATTGAAACTGCAATCGATGCACATGGGACAAAACAGTGCTGCAGCCCCTGATTTGTCAGTGCACCCAGTGGCTTTGGATATCATGAGCTGTATGGAAGGTGCATGCAGCTGAATTCTGAAAGGGTTGGGATGCATTGGGCTGCTTTATGGCCCAAGGTATTGGATTTCAGGGTCTTTCAGGTGTTGGCATAATGATGTCGCAGTCGCAAGCTACCATAGGGTCAAGTTGTGCTACACTCCAAGATGGTGTTGAGCATCTGGAGAGCCACAAAGATGAGCAACAATTGCTAAAGGAGCTACAGGACCATTCTGATTCGATACCATTCACCATTATATCTTAATTTACAATGGGTGCAAATCACCATGCATCTAATATGTATTCGTTTTACTTGGACGGCAGGATTTGGACTATGCCATTGATCTTGAAGAGAAGTCCTTAGGGGTTTCAGCCTCAATGACTCATGATGCTCATAATCAAGGATTTTGGTGGGTACTATAGCCATTATTAGCACATCATTCCTTCACCACTTGAGGCCGAGACGCCAGATGACATCAGCTCTGCGAACACTTTGCCAGCCACATCCTCAAAGCATGATTGCAGCTGGCTGCTGCAATTGTCTTGTCGGGAGATGCAAGTTCACAAAGTTACCACTTATTGAATGAAATGGACAATCGGAAAAAAAAAGACCATTGGCATCTGATTCGAAAATATGTTTCCCTTCAAGTCCGATCACTGGTAAGTCTCGCCCAGGCTTCAGAGGAAGAAATTCTAGCCGCCCTGAAGGTCAGCCAGGTGCTTTGGGATGGTGCCCCGAAATATGATTCAATATCAACAGTGGCAACATTTTTTTTTTTAAGTTGACCCAATCCTGGTCGCCCCAGGTTGATGCTGAGAAAGTTGAGAATGGTACTATGGGTCTGACACCCGTGGCAACACCTTCCCGAAGTGAGATCAATCCTCCAGTAGTTCATGGGTCTCAGCCAGCCGAGGAGGTTCCAGAGACCCTAGTTGAACCAGCCGAGAAGGTTCCAGAGACCAGCCCAGAGCAGAGTGTCAACGCTGCCCAGGATGAAGCCAAGAAGCCAGTGCTTGATCTTGTTGTGCCTGCTGCCAAGGAAATTGGCACCTCAGAAGCAGAACAGTCCCGGAAGGCCCTGGGTATGTTTTGTAGTGTCTTGTGTGCATGGACATGTTCTATAGGCAACGCTAAGCATGATTCAATTTTCCAAATGATATTACCTTAGATCTTGGAGCATTCCAAATCCAACAGTCTTTTGCAATGTTTCCAACAAAGCCACCGCAGGCGAAACTTCGAAGTGCAGCCAAAGCACGTTTGATTCGCTGGGTGAAACCTAAGAGCAAGCGCTTGGACAGGGTGGCCCCTGAAATAGTACAGCAGGAATGGGCCAAAGGCAATAAGGCCTCCCTCGCAGACCTCTTCTGTCGGGTGAATTTCAATGAGGATCGGTTTTACTTGTTTACTGAATTTTGTGCTAAAAATGCATTTACGGTTATAACATGGGGTTTCACATATCAGCATCCCAATTCCTGAACGCTTCGCCTGTCGGTAGGAGAGCTTTACCAACCAGTTGAAGATAATCGTGTCCCGAAAACAGCTTATCGAATTGACCATCGACGAGGGATGGCATTCAGAAAGCGAACTCAAGCAAGACCTCAAGTGGTCTTCGTCTTGTTCTTAGTATCAGAGTATCGATCTTGCAACTGTATCAGTATCTGCATGAAAAGGTATCAAATTCCCTTGAAATTTTCGGCATTACCGTTGGACCCCGTTGCATTCCCAGGACAAAGATCGACGGCGCCAAGAAGCGGTGCAGGGCCCTCGGAGAGAGTCACTGCAGGCTTGGAGGGGCTCACCTGCAAAGCCGAGAAATTAGACCAAGACACAACTGTAAATCAATCTTCTATATACATCAAAGCTATTGATCTGTCTGTAAAAGACTTTTCGGTGAATACCTCTTTCTGTTGCATTTGATTTAAGATGAGGCCGAATGAAATCCAGATATTTTGGGGACTTGTAGTGCCCACCATTCATACTATATTAGACTCATAGATACCAAAGCCATTGCAGTTTTATTGCTACGGAGGTTCAACCGATATGACGGCCAAGAAGAGTTCTGGGTGATTGTGAAGGAGTCTGGCCGGCGCCAAGAGTCGAGTTCTTTTGAGGAGCAGCATGAGAAGACAGGGAAGGCCTGATAACTTGAATCTGCAAATGTCCATTTTAGTATGATACACATATATACTCGCACCAGTTTCATGTTGATGCTCGAAAAAATATCAATTGAACAAATGGTGCACATGACTGAGCACTCTTCCCTTGAGGCTGATGGTGAGCCCACTTTCCAGTTCGGGGGCATGTTCCAGGGCACCGATGCCATGGAGAAAAGGCAGAATGCAGAGAAGAAACTGACCCACGACGGTGATGGGAACAACGTGGAATCCAAGTATGTCCAGGCTCCATTGGATATATACTTTTCCCGCTAGTTTTGTTTAGAGCATTCTATTCAATTTGATGTGTAATATAATAAGGTGCACTTATATGCACTTATTATGTCATGTGGCCATGCATCCCTGCTAGACCAAAGACCGTTTCAAGAAGTTCATGGAAAGCCTCATGCAGAAGACTGGAAAGTTACGGGCCCTTGTCAAAGAGCTTAAGACAAAGTATGGCGACGATGAAAGTGCGAAGAAGTAATCATCTTAGAATTTTAGATTTACCCAGGCCTTCTTACATGCCAAAGTTTAAGCCATGTCCTTCCCCCACTGGCCGCCTTTGCTCAGGTCCATCCAGAAGCTCAAGGTTGAAATTGGCAACCTCGATACTGAATTCGATGGATGCCAGGAGATCTATACCAGGGGCGAGGCTGAGGGCTTCTTAACTGAGAAGTTTCTCGTCCACAGAAAAAATCCTGCAGTGCTATCTTTTTCTCAAGGGATACGAACACCAAGCCACCTAAAAAATCTATATTTCGTCTTTGATTGTGGTCCTGACATACAGTCATGTGAAATGCATATTTACACCAAGGTTCTTCAGTGAGGCAGAAGCAAAGATGAAAACGACCACACTGACGTGAGGGACCAAGTTTCCCTGGAACATCCTGGAACATAAGAATTTAATACTGCTGTCCAAAATGTTTTCTATATCTATAAGCTCTGGGGCCAACACACCAGTTCCACCACTCACTCTATAGACAAAATTAGAACGGCGCTCTCATGCGTACAAGGTGCTCAAGAGCTGTCGCAGCAGAGATCAAGACCAGGCTCCACACTGCCTTGAATGAAAGCTGTGATCCACTTGAGTGCAAGAAATGGGTTAATATAAAAACTATAAACGTAAAACCCAATATACTGCATGCGCAATTAAAATGGATCATTGCTTTTCAGTGCTAATGAAATGTTGGCTTGAAATTGTGGTTAATCCAAGATATATCTATAATAATTACGCGCTGCCTCATCATGTGATGATTGCACATGCCAGGAACGAAAAGAAGTTCTTTGAGAGGACCGAGGACACTGAGCCGGCCAAGGAGTCTAAGAAGGATAAGAAGAACAAAAAGGATAAGGATGGTGAACAGGATACCAGTAGGAAGAGTAAGAAGAACAAAAAGGATAAGGATTCCAAGGATTCTGAGGTGGCAGAGCCGCAGCCGAAAAAGCCACGCAAAACCCCCAAGTCCTAAGTTTGAAACCAAAGTGCATCTGGTTTGCTGACCACGCAGTGCTCCAGAAGCCTTGGGCAGCGTGTTGCTCCATAGGCTGATCGTTTGCAACCTCTCAAGATAATTTTGATTTGATTTCACTGAACATGGAAAAATGTGAAAACATATCATTGGTCCACCGGTAGATCACACGGGAGCCGTTGAACACGCAGAAGCCTCAATCTCTTTTGAATTCTGTGAGCAACAAAGTTGCAAGAAATTATGGAGATCATGTCGGCTGATCATGTGGATGGGCTCCACTCTGAGACAAAAAGTTCCACCTGCCAATGCTATGCCTGCTCAACCCAAACCTTAACCTTATGGGATTCTAATTCATTCACCCCATCACTTTGCCACCGGCCACTCCAATGCCAGGTCCTTCGCCAGGCAACACGATCAAAGGATTTGCCAAACGAATCGGAGATAGTGCCTGGCTCTCAACCTGATTGCAGGGCGTGGGCAACTGTCACCACAAACGGACCACCAACAATTTTTAGTATAATGAAATGGAGAGTTATAATCCAGGGGTCATCGCCAATTGACATGTCATCCCAAACTTTGGCTGCGTGTTGGCAATTCCTGGATGCTTTATGGTTCAAGGGTTGGGTGCTTTTTGGTTCAAGGGTTCTCTCCATATACAAAGTTGACACATGCAGTTGCAATGGTATGAATGATGAAAGTGCAGAGGACGAACTCTGGGAACTTTTTACTTGTCACCGTGACGAGCCTTGGCCAAACACTAGAAACATGAGCCAGGATCGAAATGATAAATTGATGTCTGCATGTTTTATCTTTTGGATTTTGTTTATCCTTTGGATTTCAATGTATAGGCTTTTATCTTTATTGGGTCGAGTTCCATCACATACGTGGACCCTTTGATGTCACCATGGGCATCCAGGACAGCTTAAGACCTTTCCCGTGGTCAAGAAGCAGGAGCCGAAAGCCAAGGGTTGACGACCATGGATCCAAACCTGATAGATTCAGCTGCGATGCCGAGAGAAATGTTGACAGCATTGACAGTGCTAGCTCAACGCCTTCTACTGGAGAGGAACCTCACTTGAAGCCAATGCGGATTGAACCCAAAATTCATACAGTGCTTGCTTGCCGTGAGAACCTTGAATTCCTGAAATACATGCTCCCACCAAATGGGGCCACAGCAGGCCGTGTGCTTCATCATGCAAAGGCTTCCATGACAAAATTATTCACACAATACGAACCGATGATATTCAAAATTGGATATACGCACAATCCGGAGTGGCGCTGGACCAATGACTTGTACGGGTACAAGTTTGACAGAGACAAGTGGACGGCTATGGTGATTCTATATCAATCAGAAGAATCCGGTGGACCCTCAATGTTGGAAGCATCGTTGATAGATATCTACAAGGGCATCTTGGTGGAATCACTTGGTCGAGAAACATATCCTGTAAATTTTCTTTCAATAGATGGCATGCATGCCATTGCATGCCCCATATACTTCTTGCTGAACCAATCTTATATATACAATTATATACATTAAATGGATCATTATTATAGTTGACAAACAATATCCCATACATCCCGTTATAGCCATGATGCATCTTCCACCCTGCCATTCTCTCAGGTAAGCCGGGCTGCCGAAATGTCAGGGCCGGCGGTGACACGGTGAAGTTGCCATCAGAGTCCTTGGGCAAGGGCGGCAGCACATGTAGCACCTATGTTGTGTACAGATCATTTAAACATCCACCCCCAATCCGCATCAGGTCTCACTATCCTGTCAAATTAGCGAAGTGATATCAACATCGTGTAAGCAACACGTGAGATCGCTCAAGTCAAAAAAGGGTCGCATTGCGAATAGTTCTCAGTCAACTTCCCAATCTATTACTTTGTTTTTATGGAATGCACTGGACTTGTCATGTTCCACTCTTGTCGAACATATCCTTTTCCAAACCCCCATTGTGGAACCTTTTCTTAGCCACGTTTGTTGCTCGCCTAGGCCTCATGTGTTTCTGCCATTGCTGCAGCCCGTGACTTTGTGTCCGACGTTGGCGAGAGGGTAGCATCCAAATCGGGTGGTTTAGTGCAAGTGGCTCGTTGCAATCCAAAAAACCCAGAAAGAGATTGCCAGCGGGTGTTAATCAACAAGTTTGGCTTATCGCTCCTTGTGGAAAGGAGTCACTTGGGATCACTGGAACACATTCCCATCCTGAAAATTCGACGTTGGTTCGAATTCTTGTTGCACCATTCGTGTCTACACATACTACATGGGTTGAGAGAACGTGACGCAGCCAGGGAAGAAGCCATTTGTTCTTCCTTTTGGGCGAAGTTTGAGAAGCTTCAGCCACAGCACAAAGTTTTTGAAGAAGCATCTCAGGGAAGGATAAACCTTTCGAGGGCCTTGCCTTTGGTATTACATGGAGACGAAGGAAGGGGCAGAAAACGTACTGCACATTTTGTGTTGAGTTTTCATAGCCTTATAGGCCTTGGCTTTTCGAAATCTCAAAGTTCAATGGCATGGGACCGAATGGAATGCAACTTTGAAGGGCATTCTTTCACCAACAGATTCCTCATTGCAACTCTGCGGAAGAAAGATTACTCAGATCATGAGTGGGAGACCTGGGACACACTTATGGCAGAAGTAGCCGAAGAAGCAGGTTCCATGTGGCAGGTGCCTGTCAAAAACCGGGACGATGCACCTTACTGGGGAATTGTTTTGGGTATCATAGGTGACTGGCCGTTCCTTCACAAATCTGGGGACTTCACCAGAAGTTTCAACAACATACAAAAAAGGGTAAATGTCCGGAACCCACCTCGGGGGATCTGCCACCTCTGCTTGGCTGGGACACCACAGTGGGATTTTGAACAGTTGGAGACACGTCGACCTGATTGGATGAGGACATTATTTACTGAAGACCCCTTTCAACATCCATCACCGTTTGTGACGCACCTTTTGCATGAACCTGGACGAGAGCCAAACATGTGGTTTTTTGACTGGTTCCACACCATGCACCTCGGGGTTGCCAGGTACTACTTGGGATCCGTTTTGGCCCTACTTTCTGAACAACAACCAGAGTCAAACATTGACGATCGTTTCGACAGTCTGTGTGCGGATTACAAATCTTGGTGTCAGAGAAATTCCCGGAGGGCCCATGTGATGCGGTTGTCCAAGGAAAGTATTGCCTGGGAAACCACCAAGTCCTATCCTTCGGGACAATGGCACAAGGGTGAGTTAAGTACTGTACTTATGGACTACGTTGAATACAAGTTCAAAACGCAGTCGTTTCCCCATGAGCAGTTGCTGGTTCTTGCAGGTGAAGCATGCGAAGCAATTCAAAGGTGTAGCAGGATTTTCTATCGCTCCAGTATGTGGATCAGTCCGGAAAAATGTGGCTACTGTGCTGAGTTGATTCTGAAATTTTTAAGGAAATATTCACAAATGGCGACATTGTCAAAAACAAGACATCGTTGCCTGTTCGTGCTGCAACCCAAATTACATTGTTTGCACCATTTTGGTATTCAACTTTGGGACGCCCATAAGCGAAATATTTATGGTATGAATCCCTTGGCCACCAGCTGCCAACCTTCAGAAGATTTCATCGGGAGACCCTCACGGCTTAGCCGTCGGGTCACCGCTCAACGTCCTATTCTTCACCGAGTGATGGATCGGTACTTGGAAAGTGCCTACTATCAGTTTATCCAAGCTGGTTTCTTGCTCCGTTCAGGGGGTTAAATAAGAATTTAGAATATCAACACATACAAGGAAACTATCTCCCACTTTAATAGTTCAAGTTCATCAAGTTCTATCAATGATCTCTCAAATCATTGTCTTTGCCCAGAACTGACCCACTGAATATAAACCAAGGATCACTCAGGTTGCAAACGGCGTCCGTGGGGACTTGGCGCTTGAAGAAGAAAGATCCGCTGCAAACCATGAATTCGCTGATGGTCTCAAAATGCAAAACCCCGGGTTTCCCCCGGAAACATCGGGTTTCTCCACAAACCCTTCCTTTTTAAAGGTTATGGTTGCTTAAGGTAATTATATAGAAACATAAAATGCTATTTTCAGTGTCTATCAAAAATACAGAAACATACAGAAACCATGTTCAGACACTGCAAAGTGTCAAGCAAAGTCGACCAAAGCACTCCACTTTCTCCACGTTTTGAGCTGGAGATTGGCATGGTCTCCCCCAGTTGACGGGGATCGCAGGAAAACATCATCACAATAACGAACATCATTTTAGAAATTTCCGTACAATTGGGACATCATTGTATATATTGGGGGAAATATCCCCCAATTTTAGATAATGTGTAAAAAAATTGTCCAAAATTGCATATTTTTGCCAAAGCTACTGTTTGATTCAGGAGCCAGGCCAAAGTCAGTCGTCCTACCTTCCAGGCTGATTCTGGGCTGTGGCAAGCAAACTACAAATACAGGATCTGATCTGCAACTGCAGAGTTGACCTCACCTTTGCTTGGATCACCCCAAGACACGATTGAACCATCGCCTAAGACAGCAGCAAAAGCACCTACAGATCCCCCACCAAATTGGCGCGTGGAGTGAATGAGTTGCACATTCCTCAAATGATGTTGAACTGCAGAGCTGTCAGCACCATATGTTTGATCGCCCCACGTAACCACTGACCCGTCCGCCAGTATGGCAGCAAATGCATCAAGAGTGGCATGAATGTCTTGCACATTTCTCAACTGATGTTGAACTGCAGAGCTGTCACCCCCACTCTTTTGATCGCCCCACGTAACAACTGACCCATCGGCCAAAATGGCAGCAAATGCATCAAGAGTGGCATGAACTTCCTGCACGTTCCTCAACTGATGTTGAACTGCAGAGCTGTCACCACCATTCTGTTGATCGCCCCACGTAACAACTGACCCGTCCGCCAGTATGGCAGCAAATGCAACACGAGTGGCATGAACTTCTTGCACGTTCCTCAACTGATGTTGAACTGCAGAGCTGTCACCACCATTCTGTTGATCACCCCAGGTAACAACTGACCCATCGGCCAGTATGGCAGCAAATGCATTAGAAGTGGCCAGAATTTCTTGCACGTTCCTCAACCGACCTTGAGTTGCAGTAGTATCACCACCAAAGGCTGGAAGGCCCCAGGTAACGACTGATCCATCGCCCAAAATGGCAGCAAATGCACCATAAGCGGCCTGAATTTGTTGCACGTTCCTCAACTGATGTTGAACTGCAGAGCTGTTGGCACCATATGTTTGATCGCCCCACGTAACAACTGACTCATTGGCCAAAATGGCAGCAAATGCACCAACAGTGGCCTGAATTCGTTGCACGTTCTGCAACTGATCTTGAACTGCAGAGCTGTCACCACCAATCCTTTGATCGCCCCACGTAACAACTGACCCATCGGTCAGAATGGCAGCAAATGAAAACTTGTTTTGGAAGGTAATGGGCCAGGTAGACACCATCACCCGAAGAATGAATCCTTAGTTGCCGCGATATCGGCGATCAAGCATTCGCTCCCGAACGTTGCCCAAGTGTTCAAGAACGGATGCATCAGTCTGGTGGTCTTGGCCAAACGGCCAGCCAAGTACTCTTTGCAAAGGATCTTGTGGCACAGCGCCACGCGTGTCTCTAAAAGCAGAGCATTCCCACGCAAGGTGATGCCAGGTGGGCACATCACCAGTAGAGCACCAGGAGCATGGCGCTGGAGGATGATCTGGATTCTTAATTTTGTCAAGACGGGCATCAGAAACAACTGCGCCAATCATGCAGGCTCGGCTGTGCGTATTGCAAGATCTGAAGATCTTGCGGGCACAAGTGACACGTGATTCATTGTAAACACAATCTTGCACCGCAGCGGCATCGCGGCGGCCACTGGACATGAAAAGTGCAAACTGCTGTCTTCTCCAAGTCTCCCTCAATGCGTGATGTTCTTTTTGCTTGATATCCACACTAATGGGTTGATTCCAATCAATGCAAAAGTTGACTTCTGGGTGGACCCATGTCCATGCGCCCTGCTCCTGCCATTGAAGGCCGAGCAGCCACTGACGGACAGTGCCGAGCCACGTGCCTCGGGGTGAGGTGTTCGGCCATGTTCTGGGATGATGCCGCACAATGTCAGCCAAATAGATGTAGGCGCCAAAACCTGCAGCAAAATTGGGATTCAAACCGTGCCCGGCAAGCAAGAAAAACAAGTTGGTGGAACATGTGACATGCTGGCCCCCTGAAATTCTTTTGATGCGCGTGGACAAAGGTTTGGCCGAAAACGGCGTGAGCCACAGGCCCCACACAGCCTTGGGAATGGCCAAAGAGCAAGTCAAAGCGGCTTTAACATCTGCAGAAACTGGCAACAAACCAATGCGCTCAAGTCTAGCATGTGTTTCTTGGATTCGAGTTTCCTTTGTGGGTCGATGAGTTGCGTTCAGGCGCGCAGTGATGTCGACCCCCAAGACCCGTGCAGAGTCAACGATCTGATTCTCAGAGAATCCAGCCTGGAGCAGTCTTGGTTTGAAGTCAGCTGCCCTAGGAACCACTTGCACCTTGGCATCATTCTCTTGAAGCCCCACACGAGGAGAAAGTTCTTTCCAGGTTTTCCACAGCTTTGCCGCATCTTCGGGCGTTTTAGCGACTAAGTTTCTGTCGTCCAGAAAAGTCGCCAGAGTGTGGGGTTCAGTTCTTTCTTGCAACACACGGCCTGTGAGGCCAGTAAGCAGGGCCAGGAGAGTGAGCGGGGAAATAGCGTCTCCTTGAGGAATGGAAGTGGTTACATGCACAGGATTGGGCAAGCAATCCCGCCTGAAGCAAAGCCATCTGTTCTGATCCCAAACTTGACGAAGGGCAAAAAGAATTTCATTGGGGCAGCCGAAATGACGGAGGCACATGATTCCTAATTCAGGGTCGACCATGTCAAAGCATTTGGCATAGTCGAGGGAGAGCAAAACACCACCTCTTCTTTTCTCAAAGGATTGCAGCAATTTGTCCACTGCATGTGCAACACTTTTCCCCTGGATGCCTCCGTAGGCAGATTCGTGAACCCAGCTTTTTACCCAGGCTCTGGTCTGCGGCCTTCGGGTCCAAGAGGATGCAACCGCCCGCCAAATCACACTTTGGATGGCGATCGGTCTGAGATCTTTGGCGGCCAAGGCCTGGTCGCCTTCTCTCACTTTGGCATTGGGCTTCTGAAGCTGGATTTGGCGCACACTGCTCCAAACATCAGGAACTTCCCCCCTGGCCAGCCATCTTTGGACCAGCTCTGCCATGATCACCCAAGCCTCAGTTGGCCAAGAAGCTATGTCATCACCACTCCAACCATCGCAACCAGCAGCGGTGCCACGCATGCGGCCAGCCTGCGTCTGGAGCTCTTTTGCGGTGATGGGGCTCCAGGCAAGTGATGGTGGTTGGTTTGCACCACCTTGCCAGAACTCAAAAGCATGACTAGGATCCGGCTTATTGCGATCCCAAATTTTCTGCCAAAAGGATAAAACAGCAAGTAAAGATTCATGATCAGAGGAGGAGGCACTGCCATTTTTGAAGGAAGAATCAAAAACCGAAGAGACAGGCAAAGTGTTAGACTTTTTAACCCACCTACTGGCTTGACGAAACTCCGCTCTCAGCTGTTCTCGCCAGGCACGAAGCTGCTGCGCCTGAACAGCTTGCAAATGATCATGCAATGCTTGTTGGACCCATTGCTTGGCTTCCCCCAAGGTCTGAACACCCTGGTCACGGAGGAAAGGATGCCTAAAGATCCGCTGATTCAAGATGGCCGGCACAGCGCGGCCACGCTGTCGCTGGGTTTCTGTTTCAAGGATCCTACCCAATAGCTTGCGAAGCTTCAATTCACGCATCGTTGCCTGCTGACGGAGGCGGAATGTCCCCGCTTCAGCAGCATCAACTTGCAAATCAGAACCCTTCTCTCTTGTAAGCTTGGGCTTAGGGATGGGGCCACCACAGGCCTGGAGTGCGGCGACCTGCGCCTGTTCAGCCATGTTGCAGAACTCCCTCCACTCTTGGTTGGTGCTGGTCTCAGGCGGTAAACTAGCCTGAGACCAACTATTTGCAAGGGCTTGTTTCCACACGTCCTTTGGCACATCAGGCGGCGGCAGGAGTTTTCTAGTTTGGACAGCCTTATACCCCCAAACCTTGTTCTGGGAAAATTGCAAAGAAAAACACACAGGCTTGTGGTCAGAGAAAACTTCATCACGGAAATGCAATTTCTCAACCATGAGAATATGAGATGCCCAAATCCAGTCGATGCAGCGGTGACCGCTCCATCTAGTAGGGAGAGGCTGACCCATTGAATCATTCACTGTGGAAACGCTACCAAAGCCACGGATGGTGCTCCAGCGTTGGGCAAAACTTGGTTCTTCGTTAAAGTCACCTAGAATAAACAAGGGCTTATTTTCATGAACCGAGGAGACCCAGTCATCCAAAGTAGTGGCAATATCACAAGCAGCAGAGTTGGGGGAAAAGTACGCACCAACGATCAAGGCATGATCCAGCTGAAGCATGATTGCTTGGCCTTCGGGACGGGTGTGTGTTCTAATGAGCTGTGCGGGCTTGTCAAACCGAACCAAGATTGCAACTCCCCCGTGGGTCGGGGGGCAAGCAAACCATGATCTGTATCCATGTCTCAACAAATAGTTGGCAAAGTCAGATTGCTTGGCTTGATTCATGCGCAATTCTTGAATTACCACAACAGCAGGGCGATGGGCACAGGTCCAGCGGGCAACAGCCCAGGCATTGGCTGCTCCCCCGGCATTGATGGTAAGGACTTCCATGTGTGTGCTGCTACTTGACGACGGTCCAGGGTGCGGATGCACATCTCCGTCCTCAACAACATCCTTATACCAACAGCATTTCTGTGCAGGGCAAATGCCTCTTCGGCCTCCGGCGGTGGCCAGGCCTTCTTCCAGGGTTTGCAATTCTGACTTGGTGACTTTCCACTGTTTGATCAGGAATTCAATCAGTTTGGGGTGGCATTTACGGTGCCGGTGCCAAAACGCTTTCCTAAGCTGATGCTTCATGAACATGTTGCGGCCCTCGCGGCCGTTGCACTGGTGCTCACTGACTCCTTTCCATTTCTGGTGGAACAAGGTACAAGTAGCACAACTGAAAGCATCGGATCCCGTCTTTGGGTCAAACAAACTCTTAGGGACACGAAAGGCAAAACCAGGGCCCTTGGCATTGAAGTCTTGGATGGCCGTGGCTGTTTCGTTTCTCCTCAAAAGCGCATTATTCTTGTTCAGTGCAACATGCTTGGTTTTCCAGGAGTCACGAACGTAACAACGCTTACGCAATTGCTGAGTAGTTAAGCCATAGCAAACCTTTTCATGAGCTAAACGGGAAGCGTTGAGGCTTCTTTGGGACATCCAAGCGAACCCCTTGTTGCATTTTGGACAAGACCAAGACCGCTGATCTACGGGGATGTCGGCACTCGGAGTCGCAATTTGCAAGCACTTTCTGAAAACCGGCGTGACATGTTTGGCTTTCCCCGGGTGCACCTTTTGAATGTGCCTGCGGCGCGCGCAAGAAAGGGACCTAGGCATGCGGGTGCGAAAAACCTCTTGGCAGAGATTGCAAGTCCACTGATACTGATCAGCAATTTCTTGGGGCTTAATATGATGAGCCTTTTGTGAGCCAACATGGCCAGGCACTCTGGCGCGTGCGCCGCTAGAACTACCAGGCGCTGATTTTGCTTTGCAGCTGGGTGCATGAAATGGATGGCAACTGCTCGGACTACGGATGGATGCCACCTTGGACCGAGGCTTGGACTTAGACGGCAAGCAGGACCGGACTCTGGACACGACTGACTTCTCAGGTGTGCATGCCGGTCTCCATGAATGGGAACTTTTCCGTGAAGGTGTTGCTGCCGGGCGCCAGTCCGCTGAGGAAACAGATTTACCCCCACCGCGGAAGGCCGCACTGTCAACCGAAGCTGCCGGGGCTGACATCCATTCTCGCGGCCATTGGCGACCAGCTTTGAGCTGAGCCAGTGTGTAATGACCCTCAATGGTATTGAGGAGAAGGACAATCGGATCCTTGCCACTTCTGACTTCTCCAAAGGCCATAGGTCTGTCCTTTTCTTCCCCTTGGAGAGGAACCACAATGATCTGCACGCCGTAGCGTCGGCTGGCAGCGCGAAGGGACAGGCCTTCGATCCACCTTCCTTCGCGCAACGTGCTATCAAGAAAGGCTTCCCATGTTTGAGGTGTGCTGCCAGCATCCATGTGTTCACTGCGTTCACTGGGTGCAAACCACTCCTTATATTCTTTGACGTGTTTTTCCATATGCTTGAAAATGTCATTTCGAACAGTGCGACCTCTGGCCTGCAATTCTTCTTTGAAGCTATCAAAGGACTGCCCTCGCTCAAGTGCTAATCCAGCAGCTAATGCCTGATAGCCGCAGTTGCCACCCCCCCCGCAATCAAGAGAAAAAATCTTGTCAGCGAAAGGAAAAGCCGGCCCTTCGGCTGGCACATTTTCTGTGTGTCCGACAGAACCCTTGCTTGGGACAGAAGCCTTGCTTGGACCAGAACCCTTGTTCGGGGAGCGGCTCCTTTCACGGGCTCTGGCAGCGTCATCCCCTGCCTTCTGCTCAGCCTCTGGCTTCGTGATGACAGCATGTCTGGAAACACTTGGCTTGATGACAGACAAGACTTCAGCGGATCTTTTGTTCTTGTGCTGAACTCTGTTCAAGTAAAGGACACGTGCACCCGCCTGAATGCCGACAACACCTAGATTGTTTTCATCATTCACTTTAGCCTTCACAAGCCATGATCTCTGGCGACCCTCAGGTGGACGGATGATGGCGGCTTCAGTGCAACCGGCATCAAAAAGGCATTGCATAACATCTTGGCCAAACCAATGCTTGGGGACTCCATGAAGCGTCCAAGCATGAAGCTGCAGCCCCATTTTCTTGGCTGATTGCAAACGCATTCCAAGACAAGCATTTCCACCCTTGCGGAAGCAAAGACTGGCATTTTCCCTTTTCGCTTCAGCAGCAGCTCTGACAAAATATGTATGCAAATCTTCATCTTCAGCAAGTGCAAACCACCAAACGTTAGGTCGAGGACTAGGGGAATTACACAGTTTATCAACAAACAAACCCTCAGTTCCGCTTAGTTGCAAGACGGCATTAGCTGATGACTCCTTACAGCGAAGGAATCCCTGAAGCAGGATCTCAGGTTCAGTTTGCCTCTTTCCTCCAATCTGCACTTCCTTCCAACCATAAGTGGTCTGAACAGTTTGTTCACCAAAAACCTTAAAGACAAGCTTTCGGGGGTTGTTCTTAATGGCCTCCCAAGAAACTTTAGCAAGCAAAGCTTTGGGGACAGTGACTCGGAATGTGGCCAGAGGACTCGCGTCCGCTGGGACATTGGTTGCGTGGACTTTCTGCACTGGCATATCAGGAATGGCTTTGACAAGCGGCTGCACGAAGAAAGGCCGGATGTAAGTGCGGGCATTTTCCCAGGTAGGAAAATAATTAACACGTTTGCCATCAGACTTCTCCCCCTCCCCTTGAGCCAGCAACAGTGCAAATGCCTTATCCTCAAGTTTATGAAGTTTGGCAAGTCGCTGGAAATCTTCAATTTGATTCCAAGTTTGGCACAAGCACGCTTGACCAGTTGGCACAATACCCTTTTCAAGGGCCTCTCTGACTGTTGCGGCTTGGACTAAAGCAGCTTTAGGCCAAGCGCTGTTCAATAGGCTCCATGTTTCTTTGTGTTTCTCAGTCTGGGGTCTGCCAGGCCCCAAGGTCCGGTTTGACTGTTTGCCTTTATCAGGAGGTGGTTTGCCTTGAGCCACTTCGGACCAGGACGCAGCAAAGGCACCAGTGTTCTTTTTGCGCTGTTCTGGCTTGACATGAGGAGCAGCGCTGTTGGGTTGCACACCTGTAGCGTGTGCATGTTTTGGTTTCTTAGATGGTCTTTCGTCAGCATTCTGCTGATTTTCTGCTTTCTTTTTCTGCTTTGTCTTTTTGCGCATGGCATGCCCTTGGGAAGCTGTGTGTATCAGAGTTGTCAGCCTTTGCAGTAAAGTCCCAGGCTGTTTCTGAGCACGCTCAATTATTCGTTCCAAGGCTTCGAGGAGGCCCTTTTCTGAAGAATTTTGGTCTTGATCTTCTTGAGTCTTTGGTTTTGATTTTGGCGCTGCTTGGCTCTTGGCTTTGGGTCGCGGTTGCGGTCGCTGTTGTTGAGAAAAGTTTCTAACAACATCAGCCAGAGCTTTTAGCAAAGCCTCTTCTTGGTTCTCTGCACGCTTCCGGGCAGATGCTCGGGCAGCTCCTCCCCCTCCACCCCCTCTCAGAATCCGGTTCAACCCATAAAAAGGCGAAACATCAGAAGGTCCAGCTGTTGCTCTAGCCTTTGCCCTTTTGCAGCACCGGCATGAAACAACATGATGAGGAAGAAAATGGAGACCACCCGTCAAATGCAGGAATCTATGCATGGCTTGAAAAGCAAATGTTCTCGCTCTCTTGCACATATCAAACATGGGTCCAAGGCTATGTCTGACGTGTTTGTCATGAGAAAAACTGAAGCGCTTGTGCCACCAGTGTTTCCATCGTCGCCTAGGACCTTTCAGTCTGGCTCGGCCCGCTTTACGGGCAGCAAATGGCATTTTCTGACTGGAGTTGCATCCACGAAAAATCCACTTGCACATCCTATGGCGCAGCCTCAAACAAAAATTGACTGCTGAGGCCCACACCATGGCACACATCATAGTATCACATGAATCTTTGTCATGGAAGGACTTATAATATGCTGCGCTGTGCTCGGAAGTTTGCGACTCAGCGGTGGGGAGAAGACAAACAGAAGCAAAGGCGCATTGCAAAAGCAGTTTGCGGCACCAGGGGCCGAATGTGACAATCCAGAAGAGCTAAAGCAGTAACCACTGGAAGCTCTCAAACCCTGTGCACATTGATGATAGGTCAGCGTGGCTTATCCCACGTCCGATTTCACCAAATTCAGTCACGGAATCACTCAACATCGCACCATGAGTGACAGTATTGCTGCATAGACTGGCATTCATGTGGGGAAACCCACAGCTGAATGCAAATTGGTTTGCAACTTCGTTTGCACATGTGGGACTCACCAGGCAAAACCAAATGAGCATCACAAGCAATTGCATACACGGCCCAAAAACTTTGGCCTGATTACCTTGCCTACATTTCGCCATGGTTGCTGGAGCGCACCATGCCCGTGACGACCGCGGGGAGGTAGTAGACGTACAATCACGAATGGCAGCAAATGCACCAACAGTGGCATGAATCTCTTGCACATTCCTCAACTGACCTCGAACTGCGGAGCTGTCGCCACCACAACTTGGATGTCCCCAAGTCACAACTCTGTCACCTCCACAGCACCACATGGCAAAAGCATAGCATGATGCTGCCAGCTTTGGTTGCTGGGCAATGGCTGTTAGGTGCTCTCCGTCTTGAATCGCAGATGGCAAAGTCTCCAAAAGGTCGGTCAGCACACGTCCTTCTTCTGTAACCAGTTTCAGGAACCCCTGTCCGAAAGATTCCTGGACCAGAATTTTCAGGTCGCTGACTGTGGAGCTGTGCGAAAGCGACAAAGTCTTGCAACAACCACTGGGCAACGAAACATTTACAGCAAGCATTCTTTTCGACCGGAGAAATAATGATTCCCAGACTAGATCTGAATGGTTTTAATCATTCTAGTCCATCCAAACTTGTAAAACTCAATTGGGTGTTACATTGTCAAGCAGGAATTGAACATCAAATATATGGCCGAACCCAGCAACCATCTCTCTAAATTTGGGCCAATTGCTGAACGGTGGAGACAATCCATTCTTTCCAGCAAGGACAATTGCGGGATAAGATTGCCCCGGCTGTTGCTTGTCAACAGGCTGGGTTGAAACGTAGGTTGAGTTAGATATATCCCTCCACCCAAAAAAATGTGTAAAGTGAGGCCCCCCACTCATAAGCTGGTAGACCCATTCACTAGAGTTATATTCCCCAATAAACCCAACAGTTAGCCAAGTGATAAGTTGGGTTGCTCACGTATATCCCAAAAGGTGGTGCCCCAGTTATGTGAACGTTGCTTTATACACCATGGTAAGTATGGAGATATCTACCATAAACCATATATAGTTATTATTTATACGTTGGTTTATAAACCCCATTAACTATAGTAACTATAGATTAGATATATCACCTATAAACCATCGTTATTGGAGTTATAAGAAACCAACTTAGCCAACGAACTGGGGCACCACCTTGCAGTAGTAACAGCATGTAACAGCTACCCAGCCAGGATCAGTGCCGAGGTCAATTCCCATGTGGAGACAAGCCCATGCGTTTTGGATGTTATTGTTACCCCAACAAAAATATCCAAATTTCTCCATGAAGATACCATGATTATAATATATTATAATGGATTATGATTATGGAGATGTTATCATACATTGGTTGTTTTTATTATAATATATGATTCAATTGGTTCAATCATAATCTCCATGGTGTGCCGGCGGCTGGTTTCATCCCCATCACATCCGCCGTGAAATATCCCCACATCCAAAGTATGTCCCATGTTCAGATAGGGGGTGATTTGTAGTTACTTAAGTTACCCTCTGGTAATTTGACATGGTTAATAGAAAATCACCATGTTTGATAGGTAGATTATCATACATAAGCCATGTTCCAGTTTGCAAACTGTTACCCTCTGGTTATTTAACATAGCCATGGTATAGATGGCCCTAATCGAAATAGATGGTTTACCGAACTTAATAGCATGGTGGATCTTTCCATGGCTATGTCTGTTAGTCATAACCAGATGGTAAAACCCATCAAAAAACCACCATATTTTGTTGGTTAAACCCCATTTTTTACCCCATTAAACCATCATTTTCCTATGGTTTTCCTATGGTTTTCCACCATTTTTTACCCCATTAAACCACCATTTCAGCAGAGGTCATCTCCCATCCATAACTCCACAGGTGGACAGATCAATTCTCAGAGTCCTCGAGGCGTTGACCTTGAACCATGGCGTACCTGCGCGCAGCGGTTGCTGCTAGCGGCGCCATGGTGAACTCACCGGATCTGGACATATATATATATATATATATATATACCCTCTGGTAATTTGTTACATAAATATTAAGAGGATGCTAATGGGAAACTAAGGGTGGTATTAATAGGGATATAACCAATTTGATATTTGGATGTGCCTTAAAATGGGATACCCTCTGGTAAACTAACATAACTATGGAAAGATCCACCATGCTATTAATGGGAAAATCCCACTATTTCGACTGGGCCATTTTCAATAGCTATTTTGACATAACCAGAGGGTAAGTGCCTCCAGTACTTGTGGTTCATCCCAATAGTTGTCATTATATTATATTATATTGGGATTTGTGAAGATGAAATGATTCTATAAATCACGAGTGATAGTGATGATAGTGATGATAGTGATGATAGTGATGATAGTGATATATCATTACAAATCATTATCCCAATATATGTCATTATTGAAGATAGTGATTTGTGATGACAATGATGATAAGAATCAAGACATATTACTGGGATGCATCACCAATTTCTATCATGTTCATTATCAATTCTCCTCATGATTTGTCATTACAAATAAGTATTATCAGTAGTTATCAGTATTGATTGATCAATCACATTATCAATTAATGATGATATTAACAGTGTAAGTTATTTGTAATAGTGTATCATTAATATGGTGTCAATTACAAATAAGTATTGTCATTGTGATCATTGACTATTACCCTCTGGTAATTTGTTACATAGCTATTGAAAATGGCCATAGAAATAGTGGATTTTCCCATTAAAAATGGTGATTTTCCATAGTTTTTTGTTAACGTTTACCAGAGGGTATCACTATTAAAGGCATTTCATTATCATCATGATCTCCAACAGAACTAACTGTTGGGTTTCAATCTCTGGGTCCGTCGTTTCGTGGTGCGTCGTTTCTTGCCAAAACCGGAACGTAACAACCACACTGGAACCATGGAACCCTGGAACCTGCTGTACTGCAAAGCCGGTTGATAGTGGTTTATATAGTGGTTCATCATGGGACAATGGGAATTTTCATAGAAGATCTGGGTGAAAACCACAGGAATCCATGGTTTTCTGGATACATGATTAGGATCTCATCTTAATTCACTTACGGCTAAGTAGGGCGATGGTCTGAGCCAAGGCACCGGTTCCTCGGATGAACATTGGGAAGGGATTGGATCAAAATGATCAAATTGTGTTTGGCATATGGATGAACACATAAAAGATAGAGTTCTAACTTGTTCTAACATCCTTCATCAAAAGTCGCAGATTCCTGGACTTGGTCGAAAGTTGACAGGAACCCCCCATGGAAAAGTAGTGACGCTTTCCTGGGCAGATGTTCGTTACCAGTGATAGATGAAAGATTGAAAACATAGAACGATATTAAAACATAAACGAATACAATTGGTAATCAAGTTATAGGGACTTGATGCTGGGGAATAAACATAATTGAACTTTTTATATGATAGTAGTTGATGATCAATCCCAAACCTTGTAGCTATCATAGGGAACTTATGGTGGTCATGAGGTCCCATCCCGTCCCCAGTCTGGGATGACTGATGCCGAAAATAAAACCTGGAAACCTGGAAATGATGGAGGAAACATCACTGGTTTGGAACGGCCATGCAACAGGAACCGATTGAGGACGGAGGTACCGATTCCATATATAAGGCCTATTATTCAGGGCTAAATTTCAGGGAATATCCCCACAAAATATGGCCAAACATATGGTACAGTACCTCCATTTTAAGATCCTGAAATTCCCATTGACTGAAGGAACATCCTGGAAACACCTTAATCATCCTTAATCTATCTTTTTTGGGCAGTACTCAGGGTATCCCTAATCCTCATGAGTCAGATGAGGGCACTTGTCATGCAACTGCTCCAACTGAAGTTGTAGCTTCGCTAATTGCTGCTGGGCCCCATAGAGGGTTACACCTGGCACCGGGCAGTGGTGGGGTGGTCGTCCCCTTTTTTTTATTCCTTATTGATCCAGGGTTGACATTACCAACAATGTCGTGAAGTCGGTCATGTTCGGTCCCTAGACGTTGTCCAGAATGGGGTCCAGCAATCAGACGGGCAATTGGAAATCGACCATTTGTAGATGAGTTTCCCATTGTAAAACCTCCATGGCTAGGCCACGCAGATTTCCCGGCCAGCCAGCTTTAATTACCGGATGATACTGGGCTTCCTATCCCAATTAAATACTATTACTGGCCACTTACCAGTAATCATGCTTGGCCACCTATAATCCCATTTAAGTTCTTGCTGAGGGCCAAGGCCAGTAAGGTCGCTGGCCAAGTTTGATCAATTTCCAGGGGAGAACCCCAATTTCTTCAACGAAAACCCATGAACTATTGATGCTTCATATCCCCATCTCCATCCCCAATATATAGTGACACTTCTTACGAGGATAATCCCCCCTTTGATTTCTCAATCATATAGTGATCTCCAGATATAGAAGTTCAATCCACCAATAGCTTGAGACCCTCAACTGCAGGTGCGCCAGCTGCGCCTATGTCTTCTCTATGCTTCACCAGCTTTTTCAGCTCCTGTCAGGCCATCCCTGCGGACCCGCAAAGTGACGCGACCACCCCGCGCGGAGCTGAGCTCCGCCCGGCTCGGGTCCTCCTGTTTTTCGCGGAGCTGCAAAGTGACGCGGTCGTGATGCCCCGTCAGCTGCTTCCGCCAGGCGTCTTGGAGCCTGACTTTGTACCGTGAAACCATGGATGAGTTGTGGTTGGAAGCAGCAGGACATATACCAAAATAGTGAAAAAATGGGAAATGGTCAACTTATCAATACAGTCAAAAACTGGTATGTACATCCAGCTTAGGGCCTTAGGTTCTTATTTCGTTTCAAGGGTCGAGTCGAACCATCGGTTAAGATCGCTAAACCACACAGCCTCCCGCCTCCCGCCTCCCATCTTGCAAACATCTCCCAATTCCCCCCATGGCTAGGACATAGTGTTTGTTACCCTCCACTTCCTAAAAACTGATTCGTATAGTTACATGATGTTACATGATATTACATGCATCATAGTATGATGGATTGCAATATCTTGCAATATATTGCATTGTTTTTCCGCCACAACAAATGGCCAAAGACGAGTGTTAATCCGTTGTTCCCCCGCCGCCAGCCTTTTGTAAGCTGGATGGTCCGCCTTCAAAAAGGGGAAGTCGCCCTTGGCCGCCAAACTCCGCAGCCCTTCGTGAAATCTTTGGGTCTCGAAATGGGGATATCAATGGCTGGTTGGTGGTTTTTTTCGCCCTACCCCTCTGAAAAATGATGGAGTGAGTTCGTCAGTTGGGATGATCAAATTCCATTCCCATATGGAAAGTCATAATCCAGCCATGTTCCAAATCACCAACCAGGTATATATAGTACAGAATAGTACATGTGTATATATAGTACCCTCTGGTAAACTAACACAGCTATAGAAAATCACCGTATTTTTAATAGGTAAACCATCTATTTCTATCGGCCATCTATACCATAGCTGGCTTGTTGTCGTGCTGGTGGCAGCTGGGTCACTGGGAGACTCAGTGGGATTGGCCGAATCCCGAGACAAACCCCAGAAAGCGACGGTCAAATAGGGAATGAAATCACATCTTTGGGATCATAGGATGGAGGTGTTTAATATAGTTTATGGATGTTTATGGGGGGGATGGGAATAGTTTGCTTGGGTGTCTCAAGAATTGGGAACCCCCAAACATTGTCTCATTTTTTATGATTCCATCAAAGTCGACGGCGAAAATGCTGTCGAACCACTGGGTATCCAACCATTGGACCATGGAAATCCTGGATTGTCTGATTCGGAAGCTGCAAGTGCTTCCGAAAAGCCCAGTGGGCAAACGCCCAAAACCCATCCGTCTCAGCAAATGCAAGTATCATAATAAAGCCAATTTCATAGTAGCCATCAATTATCCCACCAATCTATATACTGGATCCAATAATGTACATATAAAACTAATAGTTGATGTCCCAATTTAAAAAAAACGGATAATTCATCATGGATCTCCAACTAGAAAAACCATCATAAAATGTCTTATTCAATGATGATACATGTCATATCCAACAAAACATGTTGATAATATCATTGATAGTGATTGATTAATGTCATATCCAACCATCCAGGTATCATAATTCTATGGCCATTTCAGGTGCCTAACCTGGAGGTACCTACCATATAGAAGGCCTATGGGGCAGGCTCCTGAAATTACTGGTGATAAAAAATGTTTCAATTGGATATAATCCCAATAATAGTATCATACAATAATCCCAACATGGATCAATAATATGATTGATACAAATCACGCTATTATTGGATCCATTGGATATGATTGATTGTGTTTCTATTGTTTAATATATTATACTCCCATATATTCCCTATAGATTCGATTCCCAAGTACTGGATTTCCCAGAAAAAAAGAAAATTGAATATACCCTCTGGTTAATTAACAATATTTAACATAGCTATGGAACATCACCATTTTATGGACTATGTTCCAGTTCGCTATGTTAAATAACCAGAGGGTAATCCCCATTTATATATCATCATGTTCTGGTTGGTGGTTTCAATCCCTCTGAAAAATATGAGTTCGTCAGTTGGGACAATTATTCCATTCCCAATATATGGAAAGTCATAATCCAGCCATGTTCCAAACCACCAACCAGTGTTTGTTGGTTAGATCCGTATTAATCACCAGCAAAAATCCCATGAAATCACCATGAAATCATCATGAAATCCCATGAAGCCACTGCTAAGATCCTGGGCTGCCCCTGCATCGTCCATATCCTCCTCACCATCGCCCTGGGAGTCGCATTGATTGGTGCGGAGTTCGACCAAATATCGAGCTGAGTTACGACCGAAGATGGTATATTTTGATATGAAACGTCATGTAAACATGTTTTTCTATTAACTAAACATCATGTTGGTATATATATATATTAATGTGTATTAGAATAGGTCTTATTCATTGACCTGGAATGAGGTAAGTTTTGGGAGATGTCTCTTACTAATCATCATTTGACGTGACGTCCTTGTGACGTTTCGGCCGGTCGTTTGTGCTAGTCCCAGAAGAGATTTCCCGCAGATCAATCCGTGCCCCCATGGCGCCACTTTCCTCACAAGTCATGGCACATGGATTAGTTGTGCATGTTCATCCCTGCAAACCATATATATATAATTAATTAAATATATATATATAACTAGTTAATTATACATATTTATATATATTATTATTATTGTTACTATTATTATTATTAAACACAAGTTTTGACCCATGCCCATCTGGGTGAAGATCAAGTTCGCAAAAAAGTGTGGATCTGTGTGTGAAACTTCCCCACCAACTGTCACCTATCCAATTGCTGATTGTTGATTCGATTGGTTAGCCATACCTCTGTTCTTAATCTTTCTTGGTGATTCACCTCGGTCAGTGGCTGGTACTGCGATGAAGACCTATACCCATAGGATCCATGGTGCTGCCATATATGGTGTGCCATGGATCCCATCAATATGCCCCATTTTTGTTAGCATTTTTCTACCAGCACCATGGATCCGTCATGGGATATTGACCTATATGACGGTTTGTCAAAATGTCTGTTCCCGGTTTTGTTGATAAATCGCAATTCCATGCGTGCCGCCTCATGTTTGCCTTTAAAAAACATGACCTACCTTGATGACGTGAAAACGTGGAAATTCTTCGTTACCTTTGGAAATCTTTCTAAAACCACAGGAATCGGCTAACGCACGTCGGTTTTCATTCGCTGTCGCTGGTACTATCTCCTGAACTGTGTGTCTCTGTGTGTGTGCCTCTCTGAATGCAATATGCTTCTTGACATGCCTCCTGATCAACGCTATTTCCTTACTGTAAGCTACCAAAGCGTGAACATGGCTGTGCCCTCTGTATAGGCTGCGGGTGGACCGGGGCATGTATTTGCAATTTTCGCTAGCGCGTTGCTAGCGGCGATCTAGCGCGTAAAATACGTAAAAAAATCGAAAATTTGGGATTATGTGGAAACTGACAGACTTGTAAGAAAAGCTGGCAAGACATTCACGACATGGAGGCCATGGCTGTCAATCAAACCTAGCGCAAACCTAGCGGGTTTGCTAGCGCTGCCTTGCAGAATTGCTGAATTTAGTTGCGTGCCATTGCGTGCCGCCTCATAACGAAGAGGAAAAAACAGTAGACCCAGATGAATTATCAACAACCAATACTAAACTTCTAAACAACTATTTTTGACAAATGGTCATATGATATTCCGTCTAATCCCTGGGTTTCCCCATGGAAATCCCCATGATCTTCCCGTCGCGGCCCTGGATTTATTCACCACCCGAAAGCCCTCCTGTGGCCCGTCTTCAGGAGGCTCCGCCATGCCTGACCGTTTTCGCCCCTCCAGTGATGTGGGAACTCGTTGGGGACGGCAAAAACCCCATGAATACTATAGATATAAACCACAGTTTGTATCAATAACTATAAATATATAGATATATCATGTATAACCATGGTTATATAGTTGTATCAATATCTATGGAGGTATTCATGTATTATACCATGACATATCATGTATAACTATAGTTGTATCTACCATAAACCACAGGTCTATAGACTATAGTTATATCATGTTGTATCATAGTTATATCTACCATAAACCACAGTTATATAACCAAGTTAGTCAACTTAGCGTTCACGAACTGGGGCACCACCTTGTACCCATGAAAATTGGCACCCGTACAAGGTGGTGCCCCAGTGAGCTGTTCACGCTAAGTTGGTGCGTTCGTAAGTCCAATTTCACGTTTGGGTTGATGAATGGGGGTTATATCGAACTAGTTTTCATGGGGATTATAAGCCAACGTAAACATCACTGGGGGGTACCACCGTGTATGTACCCATCGTAAAATACACCATTTGGATGGGTACTTGGAGGGTCTAGGTCTAGGTACAGGAAACCTATGGTGTTTGCCCCAGGATTAGTTGGGGGGTCCTGTAGATACAGTGTCTATTCATCCATTTCTGGAACAAAACGGACATCTTACCACGTTTTATTTTGTGTTCCCCATTAGAAAGTAATGGAATGAATGGGATGTTTACATCTAGCGACAATAGAGTTTTATTGGATTACTGGATTGTAGCATTCTAGAACGAGTTGATATATTGATGTATATAGAACAACACTTGAAGGGCAATGAAATGAGGACATGGCTATTGGACTATGGGACGTACTAAATGATATAAAATGATTATGGGGTTTACCTCATTGAAATAAGGAAGTTCAACCAAGCTGATGTTGAATCCGTCATTCAATGGGGGAAAAATGTTTTGGGCGTTGATGTTTTGACATGGGGCTGGAATGAAGAAATGGGTCTTCCAACCACTCAAAACCTGTACCAAAACAGTGCCAGTCTGCAAATCCAGACAAATTCTGCCATGGAGCTGGCATAGGACAAACAATCAAACAGCTATGGAGCAACAAAAAAAAGGCGTTGGAAATTAGTGGTTAAGTGGATTTTTCATCATACAACTCGGGGTCAAAGTCCTGAATTGGACTACCTTCCCTGGTGTAAAGAGAGGCTTGGGGCTGCGAGCCAGGCTTTATCCCACATCCAAATACCCCACAGGGTGGTACCCACCAGTTCTGTTTGTTGGTTTATGATCCCTAATATATATATATATGTAATGTGTACATATATATATATTATATTATAGGTGTATAACCCCCAAAGGCCCTAGTTCATGGACGTATAAACCAACTTAGCATGTTTAATTCTCTTCCATGATCTACGGACACAACTTCACCCGCCTCTGCGCTTGGGCGAGCGAGCCGCTCCCTTCTTTCGGCTGAGCAAAAGATGGCCACGGGATTTGCAAAGGAAAAGAGTCACTGTTTTCGTTGCGTAGTTCAAATGTACTTCAGTGGGTTAAATCCAATATGTTTTTTGCCTGCTTGTTCGTATGGTCAATCTTTAGTCCACACAAAATTGTTATGTTTTACTGGTTACGGTAAGATGGTCCATTTATAGCAAAAACAGCTCAAGGCTTAAACTACCCATCCAGTCAGGATGGTCGGGGATCATCATCTTGTGGCAGCCCTGTCGGAATGTTCAGGTGCACTGGGTAGAACATATAGCAATAACCGAGGAAGTACATTCTGATCCACAGATGAATGTTTCTGGTAAAGTTGTCTCACGAAAATGTATATATCTTTGTGCTTTAGTCGAAATCCACTCCGCAGCCAGCAAACGCAGCATTCTTTTTCATGGCATGGAAAGCCAATTCGCTGTACAGAACATGCAGGTCGTTTTAAAGCCTTACAAAGCGTGAAACGGAGTCGAGGCCGTCCTCATGTCGTCCTCGTCTTTCAAAGCCATGCAGTTTTCCAGTCTGATCCCTGTGTATCCCTGTGCTAAATGCCATACATTCCGACATTCCTCATTCAGTGTTGTATGCAACATCTTTTGTGGCCTCAAAGAAGGAAGGGCATTCATCATATCATCATTTTCTCAACCTCTATATTATTATAAATTATATATATATATGATTATAATTTGATCAATGTTCAAACATGATACATGATGGTTTTATGCTGTTATCATCTGTGTATATCGTTGCTCTATTCTATTGTCTTGTCCCAATTTCACATAGCCAATTTGGCCGGCCTCAGTAGTTGGGGTTTTGCGGGGACGAGCACCAAGGGCATTCCTGGCGCCGCACCGTTGCACAGCCGGACCCGCAACGGGACGGGACGGGCCGGGACGGACAAACTTTTTTGAGGAGAAATGGGGGATTTTTTACCAAGAAAAATGGTGATTTAATGTGATTTAAACCAAGGAAAATTGGGATTGAAACAACAAAGTTGGGGATTTAACATAATTTAACTATCAATGGATTGCCCCATAGTCTAACTGTTGGGCTTATTGGGAAATATTGGGAAAATATATCTATTGAATCTATGGTTATATTCTAGTTAGATAGGGTTATAAACTAATAAAACGTAACTGGAGGGGTCCCTCCCTCCAGAAACATGACAAAATTAGAGTATAAACTCATATGTTGGGAAAGATTGTAGTGATTGCATTGTGCAGTCATAAATTTCATCAAACCGCTGGGCAATACAATTTCAGCCGACTTGGAGGATGCAAATAAAGGTGGAGAAGCCGTTGGGTGGAGCAAGTGGAGGTAACGATTACAATGGAAGGGCTTGCCTGTAAAAGCCCAACAAGGAATGTACCAGTATTTGGTGCTTCACCCCAGGAATCATAAGTGTCTTGCAACCTCAATAGCTAGGGCAAGTAGGGTTTTTTCAGCCCAGTTGTAACTGGGGTAACATACTAAGTGGGCTGCACCAAGTAGAAAGTAGTCCAACAGGCAATGTTCGACGGGGTGAGTGGGGCCAATCCAGGTATTTCCCGATTAGATTCCCAGAAGGTGGTAACCCCCCTAGTTATCTTTGTTGGTTTATAAACCGTAAGTAGTTCGACATATATATATATATACCATAAACATCCATAGACCATAATTAAATTGGAGCTATAAATCAACTTAGCTATCTTAGGAACGCCGCCTTGCACGATATCCTCAAAATGCTCAACGATGTGAGGTCCGTGTGAGGTACCCGTGCCCAAGATCTGTGGTGGGAAACTGCTTCCAATAAAACGAAGAAAAATTGGGAACCTCCACATTGGATTGTTTATCTGGTTGGTGGTGTTAACCATGTTGAAAAATATTAATCAATGGGAAGGATTATCCCATATACTATGGAAAATAAAAAATGTTTGAAACCATCAACCAGTTATCCATGTTTGTTATGAATACTCCCATCAAGATTGCCAGAACAGATAGATATGGTATTAGCGACCATTTTCAGACACAAGCAAAGCGACTTTCAAGTCCACTGCAGGTTCAGCTTCCCAGAGAGTGCCAAGCAAAATCGAGCAAAGCATTCCGGAATGGCGCGGGGGCATAATCATAATCATGCAGTGACATTGTTGTAGACCTTGTAGATAGATGTAGATAGTGTGTATGTTGTCTTTATAGTCTGTATATACATGTTTTGGCCAGCTCTACTCTTTGATACTGCAGAAGGTATACCATTGTATCTTTAGGCAAGTCATTCGTCACTTCTTCCAGGCTGATTCTGGGCTATTGCGGCAAGCAAACTACAAATAAAGGATCTGATCTGCAACTGCAGAGTTGACCTCACCTTTGCTTGGATCACCCCAAGACACGATTGAACCATCGCTTAAGACAGCAGCAAAAGCACCCGAAGATCCACCGAGGTGACGAGTGGACTGAATGAGTTGCACATTCCTCAACTGATGTTGAACTGCAGAGCTGTCAGCACCATATGTTTGATTGCCCCACGTAACCACTGACCCATCGGCCAAAGTGGCAGCAAATGCATCAAGAGTGGCATGAATTTCTTGCACATTTCTCAACTGATCTTGAACTGCAGAGCTGTCACCACCATATGTTTGATCGCCCCACGTAACCACTGACCCATCGGCCAAAGTGGCAGCAAATGCATCAAGAGTGGCATGAATTTCTTGCACATTTCTCAACTGATGTTGAACTGCAGAGCTGTCACCACCAGTCTCTTGATCGCCCCACGTAACAACTGACCCATCGGTCAAGATGGCAGCAAATGCTCGAAAACTGGCCTGAATTTGTTGCACGTTCCTCAACTGATGTCGAACTGCAGAGCTGTCACCAACAGTCTCTTGAACGCCCCACGTAACAACTGACCCATCAGTCAGAATGGCAGCAAATGCACCAGAAGCGGCCTGAATTTGTTGCACGTTCCTCAACTGATCTTGAACTGCAGAGCTGTCACCCCCGCGGTCTTGATCACCCCACGTAACAACTGACCCGTCGGCCAGTATGGCAGCAAATGCATCAAGAGTGGCATGAATTTCTTGCACGTTCCTCAACTGATGTTGAACTGCAGAGCTGTCACCACCATTCGGTTGATCACCCCACGTAACAACTGACCCATCAGTCAGAATGGCAGCAAATGCACCATAAGCGGCCTGAATTTGTTGCACGTTCTGCAACTGATCTTGAACTGCAGAGCTGTCACCACCATATGTTTGATCGCCCCACGTAACCACTGACCCATCGGCCAAAGTGGCAGCAAATGCATCAAGAGTGGCATGAATTTCTTGCACATTTCTCAACTGATCTTGAACTGCAGAGCTGTCACCACCGCGATCTTGATCACCCCACGTAACAACTGACCCATCGGTCAGAATGGCAGCAAATGCACGAACAGTGGCATGAATCTCTTGCACATTCCTCAACTGACCTCGAACTGCGGAGCTGTCGCCACCACAACTTGGATGTCCCCACGTCACAACTCTGTCACCTCCACAGCACCAC